GATGACTCCATGCTATAGCATGTCGTCTGCTTGTTCTGCAATTACGCGACGCTCCGCCGGGGACACACGATAGGGGCGCTGCCGCAAAGAAGTACTCTTTCCTGTGTCAATTGTGTTCACAACGGCGTTCGTTCTTCCTAGAATCGCTTGGGGAAAGTCGAACGACCGCCTGAATTCGTGCAATAGGGTAACAAGCTGCTCTCGTTGAGCCGGGGCTAGATGGCAGTCAATAGAATGGTGAAATGCATCGGACGACACACTGTTCGAGGCAAAGTGAGGAACCAACGTGTTCAGCTCCATATTCGGCTTGGTGTCGAAGAAATCGGCAGACACGATAGTACCTTCATTGATATGCTGAATGTGGCCGAGCGTCTCGTTGCGGCGCAAACTGAGGGGGCACGAGTTCGGATTGGAAATAAATATTCCAGTAGTGTCTTGACAAAGCGCAAGAACGACAAATGGCAGCGATGTGTGATGGCGGCTACCGAAGATATCAGATGGCGTGAATAGGACGGTAGCGTCAGAAAGTGAAGTGCAGCAGGCAAGGACAAACTGGGCGCTGAAAGGAGGAAGGTCTATGTCCGTCGCGACGACAAGGTTAGCCACCCTAGATACGGCCGCATCAACAGAAGGCGCATCACGAAACGGTAACAGCTCCCCTTCGGCCCGAGCGCAGTCCACGACGGCGTGATGACGTGATAAGAAATCCCATCCTAGGATGACATCATGGGAACATGAAGCCAACACGTGAAATTCAATGATGTACAACACGTCTCGAATAACCACATTTGCCGTACATGCTGCGACGGGCTCAATTTGTTGGGCGCTCGCAGTGCTAAGAGAAACTACGGGAGAAAGCATCGTCACTTTACGAAGAGAGCGGCAGAGTCTTTGACTAATCACAGATATCGCGGCACCAGTATCGATGAGTGCAAGTGTTCGTACACCTTCGACGATTACATCGATGAGATTGGCGGGAGACAGGCGAGGACTTAAACGATTAGACGATGACGCAGCTCGTGCCTCCGGAGCTGCGGCAGTTAGTTTTCCGTCTCAATGGAGGTGAGTCGTCGGCGCATAGGCGACACGGAACAGCGACATGGTGAAGGGGAAGGCGAGCGGGAAGTAGAACGTCGAGAAGCGGAGGTTCGGGTGCCGGAAGTAGCTTGCACATCGCGTTCGTGAACTTCAGGTGGCACGTGAGGCGCGTGGTATGGAGGCCGAAACGAATAGTCAGGGTATCTTGGTGTATTAACTGTGAAGCGCCCACGACATAGACGCGCAACGTGACCTGGAATCCCGCAAAAGTAACATATCGGCCGGTTGTCAGCAGTGCGCCAAGGATTTCCAGCGTGCTGCTGTGTAGCTGGAAACGGCGCGGTGGAAGGTCGCACAGGTTGTGGAGTATACAATGGCAGACGAGGCAGGAGGAATTGCCACGACAGCCGCATAAGTCAGTGGCGCGGCAACAGGTGTCGATGGAGAGGCAGGCGTTGGTAATGGCAACGCCTCGGAGACCTGCTCTTGAATAGCCTGTCTGATTGTCGGCGTTAGACGGTTCGTTGGTGCTTCGGTGGTCGGCAGATACGAGAGACACCAAAGCTGTCGTGCGACCTCTTCACGTACATATTCTTTTATCTGCTCCAGCAGGGTGCTGTCACCACCGACGGCCAGGGAAGCGAGAGAGTCGTCTGCTGTCGTTGACCTCCGAACTAATGCACGTTTCTTGGAATCTCTTCCAAGTTCTGGCACAAGGTCACAAGTTCAGATACGGTACTTGGGCCCTTTGCCAGCAACATTTGAAAGGCATCATCGTCTATTTCTTTCAAGATATGCCTGATCTTGTCTTGTTTGGTCATCTCAGGGTTAAAGCGCTGGCATAAATCGATAACATCTTCAATGTAGCTAGTGAAGTTTTCGCCCTGCTTTTGCGCTCGTCCGCGTAGGCGCTGTTCAGCACGCAGCTTGCGCACTGCGGGGCGATCGAACACAGCTGCAAGGGTGGTCTTGAAAGCAGCCCAAGTGGTAAATTCAGTACGGTGGTTTGTGAACCACAGGCTGGCGAATGTCCGAGATAAAATGGGACGTACTCCAATTTCGAGGGGCCGTTCCACTTGTTGACGGCGCTCACCTTTTCAAACAGCTGCAACCAGTCTTCCACATCTTTCTTGGTCCTCGGTGCCGCTGAAGAAGGGGGGATCCCGTTGGCGCAGGGTGGTAGGTACGATGACCAGTTGAGATTGGGCCGTGCTCTGCGGGGGGGTGCTTTGCTCGGTCGTCTGATCAGGCATTGCTGATGCAGTGGGTAGCTTCCGGCTTCGAAGTTCCAGGTTAGCGTACCCAGCACACTTCCACCACTTTGCAAGGGAGTTTAATAGCGACGCCAGGTAGTAGGCAGGCAGCCTGTAAGGACAGTAATGCTCGAGCAGTCCAGCATATACAGCTCGTGCACCCACTCGCGCTTCGCACTCCGAGAGAGATGGTCCCACCAGTCAGTGCCTTGCGAATTCCCCACTACAATATATATATATATAGACACGTGTACATATACGGTGAATGACAGCGGCAAAAAATTAGCCGAGACTCTCCATATACATAATTGCTATCCTATCGCAAAAAAACAAAAAAAAACAAAGCTGAAACGTCGTCAGAGGCCACACCATGCCCACGCAGTGAAACTACGCTTGCGCACATGGCGCCGAAAATGAAGAGCGAACAACACAGACACGGATACCACGAAAACTGTTCAGTAAAGCGCCCTCCATATGCAGCGTGGCCCCACATATGTGACACTGACTAAAAGTGTGGCACTGCCAACGTGCAAAAATAGTTTTTTTTCTTTTTTTCTGGTTTTGGGGTCTGGAAGTTGGCGAGAGCCACGCTCTTGGAGTGAACGGACACAGCAGACGCGGTCGGTACAAACCAAACAACAACATACATTTATTTAACTAATTTTAGAACAACAATATCGTCATCCAAATTATTACATCACCAATCATGATAAACACGCTAAGACATCCTTACACAAGATTAAACAACACGACAAAACAAGGCAAACACAATAACACACCCAAGGTGGTGTCGTCTATGCTTGACTTACCATGAGGGCCCCCGACGCGCAGCCCGCGGTGCCACGCACCGGGGACCCACGCTAGAGACAACCGTTCGCGGCAACCGCCACGGGCAGAAGAGACCAGCTTATTTCTCGCTCGCGGTTACCAATGCTTGTCATTGCCGCCGCTATATCATGATGATGATAGTGGTGATCAACGCGAACACAATGCCACCTACCGCCCGGTAGTTGTAACTCGAAATGCAGCTTTTTGGCGAGACACGTGTGCCACGCAGCGCAAACAACTTTACAGGGGGTGTCAGCACCCCCACATGGTTTGGAGGGGGGACACACACACACACACACCCTCGTGCATGCGATCGCGGCGGCGAGAACGGCGGCAGCGCCGGCTCGTGAGGTGGGCCTGCACCCCACGAGCGGCAGGGCAGCCGCGGAAGATGCATGCTCGTACCGATATGCCAAAATGCAGAGCAAAATTCTTAGATTGACCATGTGGAAAATTCGTTATGTTAAGGTTGTCTTGGGCTGTTATTTTGTTATATAGAAGTCGGCAAGTACATGTGCTTCTACAGAACGATGGCAGGGAATATAAAATCTTCATTATATCGAGGAATTCGTTATATGGAGGTTCGTTATAATCAGGTTTAACTGTACCACTGACTTAATGATTGATTGATTGATATGTGGGGTTTAACGTCCCAAAACCACCATATGATTATGAGAGACGCCGTAGTGGAGGGCTCCGGAAATTTAGACCACCTGGGGTTCTTTAACGTGCACCCAAATCTGAGCACACGGGCCTACAACATTTCCGCCTCCATCGGAAATGCAGCCGCCGCAGCCGGGATTCGAACCCGCGCCCTGCGGGTCAGCAGCCGAGTGCCTTAGCCACTAGACCACCGCGGCGGGGCGTACCACTGACTTAGTACACTGTCTTTGTAATTATTTTTATATCAAGTTTCTTGCAATAAAACAGGCATGGAATTTTAGAAAGCGTGACTGTCTTTTGCTCTCTGTGTGCAAGCAAGCCACAATAACATGAAAAACTGTGTGGAAAAAAGTATGCATGGAAGCCATAAGATATTACAATGGGCAGAAAGTGCAAGTGTCATGTGTTGCAATCAGTCATCGGGGTCACAAAAGCAGCAGATAAGTTGTTTGCTTAGACGCTGTCCGAATCACGTCAAGGTAAGCCAAGCCTTAAGCCTTCTTGTTATGCACTTTCAGCATTACATGGCTCAGGACAGTGTGTGCTTTTCGTGGTTTTCTTACTGTGTAACACAAAGATAAGCTTGACCCATGTATGTGAAGCATCTAATGCTGAGAACATAGTTGCTGTTCACTGTATGTGGGAATCGACAGTCTGTAGAGTTTGTTTGAATTCTGCACAGCCGAGATGACTCGGCAAAAATTTGACAAAATGCAGCAGAAGCCGACTTGTGTAGCGTGTGCAGAATGTGACAAGGATATGTGTAGGCTGCAGAACAACTTTAGTGTGCAGGACAAAATTAGTCCTGCAGTCTGAAGCTTATTGTTATAGCGATGTCTAGCATGTATGGCACTCTTCAGTAACCTTAATAAAGCTTACTGGGCCACTGCAGTGTTATGCAGTAATTACAACGCTTTGCTGCCGACTGGAAAGGCATGTACAATTCCAGCCCAGGCAGTCACATTTCGATGGAGGGAAAATACTGAAGCCCCGTGTACTGCATCTTCTCAGTGCACGTTGAAGAACCCTAGGTGGTCAAAATTTCCACAGCCCTCCTCTATGGCGTGCCTCAAAGTCATATCGTAGTTTGGGAGTGTAGAACCCTAGAAATAATTAGGGTGGCATAAGTTCAACAGTACAGCTTACTGGAGTGTGGTACATAATTAGAAGAAAGCACAAATGAGCTTCGGTATCTCTATGCTGCTATGTGACACGCAGTTCTTCATCGCCGCCAATGCTGATGTACCAGTGGAGAGCCTTTGGCAAGACAAGTATCACCTGCGCAAGAGCATGATGCCGTCATTCCTCTCGGAAGAACAGGCCCGGAAGGTACGCCTAAAAGGCTGTCTGTCTTTCTCAGATTTACTGCCTGATGGGTTCCATCTCGCAAATGTTCTCCAATCCTAGGCCCTTACTCATGTCTTCCAAATGTTATGCAATCTGTGTATGCTCAACGAGAATCTTCATCAATTAACTGACAGCTTAACAGCTGTTAGCAATATCGCTCCTAAACAAAAAGACAGCATTTAATGTTCAGATACTGTATTTTTTTAAAGGAGAACAAGAAATGCCCAGAAATTACTATAATTTATTACCGTATTCACTCGTTTAATGAACGCACTCGCATAATAAACGCACCCCCAACTTCAGTCGTCAGAATATGGATTTTTTTCTCCCCACGTAATGAACGCACCCCCTACATCCATCCACTGCAGTCCCACTAACCGACACGTGCTGCCTTCCTTGCCCGTTGGATGTCTTTCATTTTTTATCATTATGCCAACTCACCTCGGCTTGCTCCTTTCCCCACTTCGCCCGCTCCCGAGCACCGTATTGTTTTTTTATCTGTGTGTAGCACATCCCCCTCTTTTTAAGTTATGTATGCTCCACAGTAGGGTTCACGAATGGTGTGAGTGTAGAGACATTACAGCTTATAAGCACACAGCGAGCAAAGGTCACGAAACTGCCCGCGCGAACCGGCGGTCGCTTTCTGCAAATACGAAACTATAAGGCCCAACCACGTGCAAGCGAATTTCGAGTGACGACGATGACAAGATTTGCTGTTGCCATGGTTGTCACAAAGGCCCATTCGTGGCCATCACTTTGCAGGTTTCAATAAAACCAGAAAAAAATTGCTTGTTGCCCAGAAAAGAACGTGACTATTTTCGCAACATGGTAGCACCCCTGATTCTCGCTTCGGTTGCAATTTGCTCTTCGTGTTTGTTATCTGCGCGTGCTTCAAGGAATGCAAGATATAGGATACATTTTCTACAGTTTTCTCATGTGGACAATATTTTGTCGGTTATCTGGTTATTAACAGTTTGTTTTGATGCTTCTGTAATATACCTTGCTGCAGTGCTGGTTGCTTGCTACAATATCAACAATGGTGGCATGGTCGTCGTGCGAGGTTGCTGCTGAAGTTAGCAAAGTGCGTTGTAGTGCACGCTTCTGGGCGCCCCTTGAGATCACGGCAGATACCACTGTTGAGGTTAAACGATTGCGAGAAAATACAGCCACTAAGTGCTTTTATGGCAAGCGCGGGCGGCGCAGGGGCAGCTTGCAGAAGATAGCACAATCACCTACCGAAAATGAGTGAAGTGCAGTGAAGAAGCTGTTTCCAAACTATGTAGGCATATGTCCATTGCAAAAGGGTAAACGACCTTACTTTTTTTTTTGCAATACCACATTTTTTCTCATCTCGAAAAAGTTTTTATAAAGTTTTCCCCGCATAATAAACACCCCAAACTTTGTTATGATTTTTCAAGAATAAAAATGCATTCATTACGTGAGTGAATACGGTATTTGTTTCGAAAACCCATCTGGTAAAGTTCTTTTATGTAAAGAATTGGGAAATTAAAACACAAAAACTCAACATCTCTTTTTCTTGTTCTAAAGTTATTTCATCTAGAAACGTATCCTAAATTGCAAAGCAAAGCCACCTTCACTGTGCAAGAAAACATTGTTTTCTACTTATGTGCAGATTCTGTGCACAGGCAAGGCAGTCAATTTCTTGCACCACGTTTGCCAGGATACCCCGCAGCAGGCGGACCTGCCTCCACCGAATTCAGGTAAATTATCAGGCCTCTACGTGCCTGGATGACATGCGCTGGTTCTGTGAGCTTTCTGCTGTGACCTCACTCAGCAGAACAGCATCTTTGAACTCTGTAAAGGGGTACTGACACCAATTTTCGGAGCTGAGTTTTCTCCGTCATATAAATATCCTGTACACAAAGACGGCTGCGAGCAAACGTGAAGCTCAGTAAATGCTGATATTTCATTTTGACATTAAAGTCGACTTTTTTTTTGGCACACCTGCTGACATGATACTCTCGTGACGTCTGGCTACAGTGTTAAAAGGGGGCAGACTGGTGGACCAAAAAGTGACAAAAACGTTAATTTTTTAAAACTTAAATATCTAGTTTCTGCTAGTATTTTTCTATGCCTGCTGGAAATTTTCACACACCAGGAAGTGGTAATTTATTTGTAATGTCAATATAACTGCCCAGATTCTTCGTTCTGTTAATATGCAGAAGCTGCGAAAAATTAGGGAACTGACTTCGAGGCTTCTTCATAACTTGCCGGCAACAGTGTCTGAAGCTCTGCTACGAATCTGCAAGCACCTTTATGAGGATTGCAAAACATGCACACCATGATTGTTGCTTTTTGAAGAAGTTGTGTGTCTTCAGTTTTTTTTTTTTTTCATTTTTCTTAAAACAGTAAATTTACGACTGTTCAATTTTGAGGCCTCAATATCTCTGCAGCTAGGGCAGGTACAACAATAATTCTTTTTGTAATGGAAACCTGTATGTGTGCAAGTATGGGAGCAGAATTTAGAGCACAATCCTTTTTAGTTAATTACTCATCAAAATTGTAACACATTTTCAACTGCTTTAGAAAATGTATAGTTCATTTTACTATAAATCAACTAAGAAAGGCCTAAAAACTAAAAAAAAACTCTTGCATGATTTACATCTATAGTCATTAGTATATGTTGGCATATCTTAAATATCACTTTTAATGAAGCACATTTTTTTTCTATGGTGGCCTTAAGGGGGAACGTGCCTTTCGGAAAGAACTTTCTTGTTTCTGGTTAGATTTTGATGAACATTGGCACAGAGACTAAGAATGACCTCATAATGCTTCCATAAAAAAATTCAAGATGATATCATGAAAACTTTCTGAGAAACAAATGATTTCATTACTGGACCTCGTGGAGCGGCTGGAGAGTTTAAAAAATGACATAGAAAGTTGGTAAACACTGTGTGCAGAGGTGAATGTATGCTGTAGGGGGCTGCGTTTTCAAAACAATTTTTTTGCAGCACTAAAATTTGTAGTTCATGTTTTCTCCACGATACCTCAATGAGCACATTTGCACTACAAACAAGAAACCCTACCAAAAATGTTTAAAAGACTAAATTTTAAAAATCAGAATGCAGCCCCCTGAAGCACAGTTCAAGGAGCATTACAAAAAAACAGAATCAAAATCTGTCAAGTAGTTGCGAAGATATCTGCTCCACGAGCTGAGCAACATGCCAAAAAAACAGTATTGAGAAAACGAGGTTCGAAGTCTTGAGTCACGGTTTACATGCCTAATAGGCACCAGGGTGGTAGTCCTTAGTGTCCTTTGCAGTGCGGCGTCACTTGGCCATCTGACCTTTAGCCTGATGAGCTTTTGCAGCCTTTTTTTTTTCCGCATGGCATCTTTTTCGGCTGCTCTACGAAGTGCATGGCGTCCAGGTTGGAGACCAAGAGATGTGCAAAGTTGGGTGTAGGCATGGAGGTTCCCAGCATTATACCTACAGATTGCTTCACTGACAGCAGTTTCTGCGGCTATCAATGAAGCATGCTCTTCTTTGGGCAGGATTGACCAAATAATTGAGTGCAGGCTTTCGGCAGCATTTTGAGTTTTTTTGCCCTGGCACCGCGCAAGAAGCTGTGGGTCCGAAAGTCGCTGGTACACAGGCAGCAGGGCAGCGGCAACGTGTCGTCCCAGGTGGTACTTATGGGGTGGCTGCGGTTCATCTTTAGCTTCTCCAGCCCGGTGTCTGCACCAGCTATCAGGACCTGGTGGGCAAAGTTCGTGGTGTTGATCCTGGTCAGTCGAAGTGGTGTGGTAGAATGTAGCCATGACCGCTCGCTGCATATCCTCCACTTCAGCATGCTGCCTAAGGGCTTGGCCATAATAGTCAGTCAGTTGCTTGATCAAATTTTGTGTAAGGCCACCTTTTCCGCCGATAGGTTGGTCTTTCTTGCTCTTTGTGACGATGGCCCGCAGGGCTGTGCCCATCCTCTTTTTAACATGATTGATACAATCTTCTTTCTTCAGGGGTATAAAACCGTAAGTCTGGTCCTGACACAGAGCTAAGAAAGTGCGGCTGTCGCCATCGCAAACGATAGTTGTGTAGCGCAGGTCATTTTTTTTTAGTGAGCGCCGAAACAGTATGAGGGCCGCTTCGAATTCCATTTGGCCCGAGTTTGCCTCTGTGTTTTTCTGGCAAACACGTGCTTCCTTCCATTCACTGTAGCCGTCGTCGCCTTCTTTGGGGCCCACAGCACATCCATGACAGTAATTGGACAGGACAACACTGTCAAGCACTAATCCGGTGTAGAATTCAATGACCGTGCCCACGCCGATGTGGGACGCGTGGCCGCATGTCATCCACGTCCCGTCGTACACCACCGTGACATTCTCGGTGGGTGTTCCCTCCATTTGGCTCTACACATTGCGAACGACTGCAACAGCGTCGCAAAACACACGTGCCACGGCTGCTGCGCCAGCAGGCCGAAATTCCCCCTTAAGATGCCTTTGAAAAGTCTTGTGGTGAATTCCCCTATGTGATACATTCATCACAGACCAAAAATCACTGAGTGCAGCTGATCCCTTTCCAATAGTTTTTATAGCTTGCATGGCCCGAATATTTACTTCAAATGACTTGCTATTTTCCATTCGCGGCGACGACCACGCATTTTTCGCGTCCGCGCCGCAAGCAGTGCAGGTGAGCACCATCTTTACCGCTAACCCGTGCTTAGTTCCGTGCTTCATCTTGAGTCCCGGCTCTTTGCACTGCGGGCACAGGGCACTGGCAAACAGACCATTCAGGGCCGCGCTTTGCACGAGGAAAAACTCATCTTTGTCTTCCGTTTCGATGTCGCTCTCGTCCCCTTGGTCCATCAGTGACATCTTGCGCTCCGTCGCAGTCACTGCTCTTAGGGACTCCTGAACAGCCTCGGCGCGTTCGCGAGATGCCTCCGCTGACACGAAACGAGGCTCTAATTGGGCCCGAATCGTGCTACTGGTGGTGCTGGTAGACGGCCTCGCATCCTCGCGCGAAGTACTTGGCTGAGTGTCCGCGATGTCTACATGCTCGCGCGAAGTGCTAGGCTTAGCATCGGCGGCGTCTACATCCTCGCGCGAAGTGCTTGGCTGGGCATCCGCGATGAATACATCCTCGCGCGAAGTGCTAGGCTTACCATCCGTGATGTCTGCAGCCTGCGCGGAACAACGAACGGATGTTTCCTCATACAGCACAAAGCACTGCTCCACAGGCATATGAACAGTTTCGTCGATGCTCGCGGACGATGCTCCGTGCGTGCTTGTGCTCGGCTGCGAGTCCTCGTTGTGCCGCACGCCGTCGTCGCTGCTCGCAGAAGTTGCCGGACTGAATTTCTTTTTCACGATCGGCGGCTTCGGCTTACGAGCACCAAATCGCTGCGCAGTCTTGCGTTTCTTCTTGAACGATCGCCGGTCCATGATCGCATGCGGGAACCGATCTCAAAACTGCAATGCGCCGAACTGGATAACAACGTTTTTCTCCTTTCACGAGCACCGGTCTTATCGCAGCGCGATGCGATCTCGAAACCACGCCACGACGAGTTGAAAACACATGCAGTAAGCGGCCCGTCAGCGCGTAGAGCAGACGACCTTTGCGCCGATTGCTACAAGCGACCGCACGGGCGACCAATGCGGAGCCGGCGTACAGTCATGTGACGCGCGTCACCAATCAGAAACTGTTGTGATACCTTTACACTTTGGCTTGCTGTGGGCTTGCTCTTGCCTGGTTCAGCCGGCTGAGGCGGCAAATTTGAAACGGAAGAATCGCGCTATCCATAGAGACAAAGATGGCGGCGCTAGGTTACGTGGTTGCGGAGATATTGCGGTTCGAAAAACGCCGTTTTTTGAGGATTTCCGTGAAATTCATCGCCACCCTAGCTTCGATAAAAATTTTTCACGTCATTTCTACTCTGTTTTCAGGGATGAAACTTCGAAATTAGATAGAAAAGGGTTCACAGAATGTGAAAATGAGATTTTCAGAAAATCGATTTTTTGGCCAAATTTTGCGATGCCAAAGCCGCGTCCCCCCTTAAACAATAGGTGGTGAAATAAAGTTATCTCAGGAACAAAATGAGTTACAGGAAAACTAATTAAATATTTGAAATGAGCAGAAAGAAACTGCATAATCCTGTGCAGTTTGATCAAGATCACTGAATAAATGAACAAAAAAATGTCCAAGGCCAGTCTGCCCCCTTAATTCTGGTGACTTCATGCACCGGTACGGCTAATTGTGATGATTTCGGGTATGAAAACATTCAAAATGGCCACTTGTGGGTTACTAATAGAGCCAATGTTGCGTAGCGAGCATAGAAACGTCGTATCTTCCGCAAGTACACGAAGAGCTCACACCGTGTCCTAATGTCAGGGTGCAGTAGAAATCGAAACCTAATTTTTTAAAACACAGTAGACTCTGAGTAAACGAAAATCTCTTAAACAGAACTACTGTTTAAATGGACCAAATTGCCTCCAGCATGATTTGTTTTATACTTGGATTCACCACCCTTGTTCATCTCTCAGTAAACGGAACTCCTGTTAAACGGAACACATTTGCCTGGTCTGCAGCAATGTTGACGCCACGTTCCTAGTATGTGGGGAAAACATTACCTCAATGTTGAAAATGTGATTCCAAGCGTTGCCATATTATCCTGAACGTTACAAGAATCGTTATCATGTGATCAAAAAGGAGGACATAATCGCTTTTAGGCAACGTTGCTGACTTGACATCTGGGCACATTCATTCAACGTTGGGATAACATTCTGCGTTACTTGGGTTGAGGTTTCATTTAACAGGACTACTGTAGGTGAATCAATTTTTCCAGGTTCAGTCAAGCTTACCAGTACATTTTCTAGGCTCTTTGAGAGCTTAGTCTTTCATTTGATGCGAAAATTTCACAACTCAAAATTTTCGTGCCGGTACCCCTAGAAGGGTTGATGGTCCATTTTTTGTGTGCTGAATTTATTGTATTCCTGCCCTGTTTTAGAATTATGTTTATAGGTTATTCAAGGCATTCATATCACTTCTCCTAAGGGGACCCTGAAAGAGGTCTTACAACTTTTTACATACCCATTGATCTGGTAGCATTGATCCTTTTTAAAATTGTTTGCAGATGCTCTCATTACAGTCTGTAATTTACTATATAAGGTTTTAAACATGAGACTTGTGCTTCCAAGTTTCATGCATATAATGGCAAGCAGGATTTGCTGCCTCTTAGCTTTCGTTTCAAATTCACACTGGATGTAAGAGATCAATCAATCAATCAATCAATCAATCAATGAAGCTTTATTTTCATAAATAGATATATGCAATTACAGGGATTATTTGGACCGATAGCCTAAAGTGGCTAGTGGACGGTCCAATACAATGTGCAACATAAAAAAGTGTACAGGTCAGCTCTGAGGTAACAACATAAAAAAAACAATCATGTGATACAGATAACACAGTAATACATTTTTTCTTGCAGATATGCATACTTATTAGCTTGCAGCTAGTTTCTATACATAGGCACTTATTAAAAAAATACAATGAAAATCGAATCACACACACATGCTTACATGTCTTGACTCCACAGAAAAAATGATTTACATGCCATGCTGAAATTACGTGCCGTTTTAATCTCTAGGGGGACCGTGTTCCATATTTTTGTTCCACTAAACTGTATCAGTCTTTCTCCGTAAACATTAAAACATTTGGGCAGATTGAAATTACCATTCGAAGCATGTCGCGTATTGCGTTTAGGAATTGAAAAATGATGCGCAGCTTCTGATTTTTTTCGTAGTGTCCCCCATTGTACCTTGCTTAGAGCGTGTACATAGTATTTTGTGATGATTCACATGCAGTGGAGTGCCTCTTGAATGACCAGCCAGAAGGCTCCTTTATGGAGTTCTTGGAACAGGCTTATCATGCACGCAACTGCCACGTCCTCTCTGTGCTCAACACTCAGTTCAAGTTCAAGGAGCATTTGCAGGTTGGTATTTCTCCGCAGTCACCGCACCCTATGCTGAACGCTATGCTGAGGAGTCAAGTCGCATGATCACATGCATCATCCTGATATTTTAAGTAAATTTCAAATGCGCCCAAGGCAACCATACCCCTTCTCTAAAGGCTTGTTTTGAAAGGCTCTTTTTACAGTGATGTTGTTTCATCTTTTGAGTGTTGCAACTGTCAACTAATGGTGAATCAAGCTCATGTTGACTGTATTCTTTTCCAGGCCTTGCGACAGTTTCTTTTGCTGGGTCAAGGAGACTTTGTCCGCCACCTGATGGATGTCGTAGAGTAAGTTGAGCCTCACTTCATATGGCTGCAGGGTAGCTGTCGTGAATCAATCAAACGAGTTATGTGAACAAACACGAGGAAGCTGGGCGTGCCTATGAAACAGAAAATTGCCATCCAACTGTTTTTAAATAGACAATATTTTTTTATTTTATGAATATGACTCGCATGTCTCACAGTTTTGCTACAGTTTAACGTGAGTGGGTATGATATGTTTAGGCTTGGTCAAATAGAAAATTTTAGGCTTGAAGCGAGGAGTGATTTGGTTCGAATAATTGTTAATCAATTTAGAGTAGTATATTACATATAGTTATGAAAAATTAGCACAGTTGTCATAATCCCACTAACATTTGCAATATAAATATTTTTATTGTTAAAACAAAGCATATGCAGATGTTATTCTTTTTAGTTCAAAGGAAGTGGAAGCAACTCTTGATTATTAGCAGAATTTTACTTATAAAATACGTTAAGTTTCAGAATTCACAATACTTAGAGCATAAAAGCCGGCACAGGGAGCTTTTAAATGTAAAAAAAGAAGAATTGATATGAGGGTATAATATGTTCATTTAAGCTCGAAATGGGGCTTCGCGGCAGTACGGTTTTTCCCTGGAAAGGTGCATTCACGGTGTAGCAACCCTTCCACAGTAGTGAAACCACATTCACAAGTGAGTTGCATGTGGACTTCTATGCCTGTTCCTTCATTTCGAATACTTCAAAATTCCTGTTAATTTAAATTTGAATCAAACCGAATTCTAGTATCATAACATTTGTTTGAAGTGCTCGTATATTCGCACAAACCTACCTACTTGTGTTTTATTGTGATATAGTTGCCCACTCAATGTTGCCTCCTCTTCTTAAACAGAACTGATATAACTGGCTGATTTTGACTGCTGATTTTAATATCTTTGTTCCAATTACCATAAAAATTTTCTTGTCAGAATGTTGTGTTGCTTGAGAAAATAAAGAACCTGCTGATGCGCTGTTTCTAATGAACTGCTATGCACAGTTCCGTCTCAAGCCTGCGTTATTATTACTGTTGTTTCAAGTAGTAGACCTGTCAATAAACATTGACATCAGCAGTGAAGACATTCAATTTTAAGAATATTTGTTAGGCATGTGGACACGTATAATGATCTATAATACAGATCAGGGCTCAAATTGTCTACTACTGGTAAACAAGTGTTAAAGTGAAAGACAAATTTTGCAAGCAGTTCCTAATAATTATGGATGTCAAGGTGCTCTCGCTTTATGTCTTTAAAGTACAGATTTATGAGAGTGTAATCACACTGGGAATATTGTTAGGTTAAAAAAAAAGAGAGAAAAGAAGTTAATGTTGTAGTCATATTGGGTAAAATAACCAAGAAGTTCTCCACGCTCATTGCCTGGTGTGAATTTTATCAGAGATACTAAAGAGAGAAATGATTTTTTGGTTTGTAGGTAGCCCTTCCACAATTTTAAAAGCACCCCTCTTGCCGTCACAAGGCTCGTGGTAGGCTCGGAAAGACAAAAATACAAAGTATACAAGTTGCAACACTGCCTGAGGTTCCTGCACCAACACTTTAAGTCATAGATTTCGAATGCATCTACAAGGACCCACATAATCCTTTATTGGTAGGAGTGAATTGAATTGTTTTATAAGAAAGTGAGAGACTTTGCTAGGCCACTTTCGGAAAGCTTTGTGGAGCCAGTGTGGCCTAAATGCTATATAATACTATATTCATAACCCATGACAAGTGCTAGGTTTCAGCGTGAAATACGGCAACGAAACTCTGCCCTACATTTTTTAAATAAAAGATTAACGGTGTTGTGCTTTATTGTCCCTACAGTGAGATATCAAAAGCTGCTTCACTGGTGTGTTGATTAGTGCGTAGTGTTGCTTGATGAGTTTCGTATCCCCCCCGCAGTAAACAGCTCAACCAGCCTGCCCAGCTCCTGCGCGAGCACGTGCTGAAGGCAGCCTTGGACGAGGCTGTGCGCACCACCAATGCGCAGTTTGTGGACCCCGACATGCTGAAGAGGCTCGAGGTCAAATTGCTAGACGTAAGAATAGCATTAGTCAATTGATGGTGAACATGGGTGACTAATTTTACATGATGCAAAAATAAAAGGGGCGGTGGGGGTGTTATCTCAGGTTTTTCTGCAGCTGCTGTCACATGCTAATATTCCCATATGCTGCAGTAAAAACGTCATTCATTAGAATCCTATGGGACCACAAAAATGTTCAAAGGAAGCAAATGTCGAAATCTCCAAGGCCATGAAAAAATTTTGATGTGTGCTTGCTATTTCAATACCTGCTTACCAAATCGACATGCAAAGCATGTTCTTATTTTGCATAGAAGCGGTGTGGAAGCAGGAGCTCTGGCCACTTCATAACTGATTAACATTTGTAGCAGCAAAGGTTTGGGATGGGGTGGCCGCAGTACATGAACACCGTGTCTTTGTGCAAGATGTGCTCTTCGTTACTGTGTGCCGATCCCAATTAACTTTCTTCCAGTGAGCAGGATGGCAATAGATTGTCCGATTGCACGAATTTAGAGATGCCGTATGATCGTAATCATCACTATCGTGCTTGCAGCATGCCAAGGACACAAGTGACAGAGTTTGCTCTGGTAAATGTTTTAGTTGGAACAGCAAGATGCCAAGTTGGGCCTTTATGGCCCAACTTGCCATCTTGGAAACTTTATGGCCTGTAGAACTAATTGTACATGTGTCCGTCATGGCGACAGAACAGCGACGATTAGGCTCATTCAAATAGTGAATTTTAGGTTCGTAGCGAATAGTGATTTGGTTAGAATAATTTGGAATTGAAGTTGAACAGTATATCTCACATATTATAAAGGAAAATGAACGTTTGTCATAACCAAACTACCCTGTGCAATATTTTTTTTTTAATTTGAAACAAGACATGTGCAAATGCCATTCTTTTTGTTTCTAGATAAGTGCAAGCAACTTTGAATACTGTAGTTACTTGCATAATGAATTCGCCTTTTTTTGGAAAAGTTGACGCCCATTCGTGGGGAGGGTTCATTGTACTGGAGAAAAAAAAAAAGTCACGAGAGATATAACCTCGAAAATTTCGTGAGACGGTATTAAGAAACTCGCTGTCTAACCACTGCTGGCCTTCAATTCAGTGGCAGGACTACGGAGCCTCTAAACCTCTTTGAGAACTTGGCTCGCTGTAAGGGGAAACTGTCCTTGTTTTGGCCTGCGAAATGTGTCACAAACCTTTACTGTAACTCAAAGCTCTTGTTTTTTTCTCAAGAAAGGGAAAGAACACAACCACCTGTTTGTAGCACGAAGCCACAAGGAAATTCATACAGATTTCTCAGAAAGACAGCCTTTTAGTTTCCGAAAATTCATCCTGGTCCGGGGTTCGAACCCGAGACGAACGTCTTTTCTGGGCAGTTGCTCTGCTAATTGAGCTAACCAGGAAGCTAGCAATTGACAGTGCGAGGGCGAATTCATCGACAACTCGTAGCACATGGAAGCAAGCACTGCAAGTACCATATTTACTCGATTCTACCGCGCCCTCGATTGTAACGCGCACTCGATTTCCACCGCGAAAAAAAAAAAAAAAAACGTAAGACATCGATTGCAACGCGCACCCATTTTTTCTCGCTGGCCCGCATGATCACACCGCTCGAAATAACGACTCCTTTCGGGAGCGTCTTCCATTTGAATATGAGGTACGGGCGAAACTTGTGCCCATCTGACGTGTAACAGAGCATTGCCGTCACTGTAGTTTTACCGTGGACCGATGTCAGCATGCGAACTTGCTTCGCCCCCTTCTTCTTGACGGTTGTGGTGCCAGGCATGTCAAAGTAAAGAGGCGTCTGATCGGCATTCCCGATTTGCCCAAGCAGGTAGTCGTTGTTGCGCCGCAAGTTTAGGACGAACCTCTGAAAACTGTGAAGCTTTTCATCGTACTCCTCCGCAAAACTTTTCGCAAATGCATGTTCCCCTTCGGAGGGAAAAGCCTTTCCTCTTCATAAAGTTAGTTAGCCAGCACCTGCTCGCTTTAAACTGGCTCCGCATTAGACATTTTTCTAAGACTAATTGCATAGCCCGCACTTGGAGCAGTTCTGCCGTCACGGGCCGCTGTGCTGCTCGCTGCTAAAGCACATACTCGCCGAGCAGCTCTTTAATTTGCGGAAACCGACCCTGCTGTGGTTCACTGAAGTCTTTGCGTAAAGCTTTGCTGTCGAAAATCTTCTGCTTTTGTTTTCGTCGGTCCCGCACGCACGTTTCGGGAACTCCGAACGACCGCGATGCGGCCCGATTTCCGTCCGTTTCTGCACACGCGATGACTTTTCTTTTAAAAGCGGCATCGTGGTGCACTCGAGTTTTTGGAGTCGGCCATTCCACGCCGTCGATGCTAATGCACTACTAGATGACGAACTCCTCAGCACACGTACGAAGTGCCGCACATAAGAAACACATAGGCAGAAATGGACGACGCGCCATGCAGACGCACGTAGGGGGCGGCCATTTTAGATTTGCCGATGGCAATAGATTGGCCATAATTTTTTTGTTCGTACTCGATTCTAACGCGCATGTGATTTATGAACTCGCTTAACCGGAAAAAAGGTGCGCGTTAGATTCGAGTAATTACGGTATTGTTTGCACTCTGATGGAGGCAAATTGCTAGATGCGCATGTACTGTGTAGTGTCCATGCAGACTAAAGAACGCCAGATCAGGATGTATAAATGACCAGAGCCCACCACTAATGCATGCCTCATAGTCATGTATCATGTTTCTGGCATTTTAAGTTCCACAAATTATTATTGGCAGTAATTGAGCTTGTGAGTAGGGCAGAAAAAAATTGGGGGACCCTTAAAGGAGCACTGACATCAAATTTCAAGATCGAGATGTGCCCATCATTCGATCGCTTGATATGCATAGGTTTTCTTGGCCAAAATTAAACAGCATACGTCGCGTGGAAGTTATTTTAATTCGATGTCAAACTGCGTAGAAAAGCTAAGGAGGAAAAACGAAAAATCGACTGCCCTGCAACATCGACACTAGTGCTACGTGTTTGGTGTGAAACATTTCACAAATACCATCCTGAGTGACGATGCCCTAGTAGCGATGACGTGTACGATCCTAGTGTTCTTATCGTGGCGCCGACTGGCACCAAAGCGCAGAAACGCACTCGCTCGTCGCGTCTTATCTTCATCGCACCGGTTTGAATAATTTGGTTAAATTATCAAGATAAAAACACCTTTAAAAGAATGGTGAAAGAAAAGAGCATGATTTCACGTGTGCTTATCGGTCAGCATGTCAGGGAATTGTTGTGAGTTACAGGTAAGTGGCAGTCGTCTAGTTCGAAGCACGGAAAAAGCGCAATGGGGGGGGGTCCTTTCATATCACATGTGCGTTACACATCAACACGACCACATGCTTTCAAAAGTGGAACAGCGTGTAGTCATATATCATCGCTAACAAGTAACACCCAGGTATTGTTGAATTTTAGTTCATCTGTAGACTTTGCATCCACGTAAAAGTGGTAGTACTGTGTTAACTGCGAGAAGCTGGATAGGTGGGGCCATCTGGAGGCGCAAAAAAGAACCTGGAAAGCAGGAAACGTATTCTTTTTCTCCGCAGATGCTCATTGGCGATAGCTACATCGCATTGACCCCTCTGCCTATACCTGAATGCTTTGCACGCCAAAACTCACCAATATAGCTGAGACACACGAGGGAACATGGCTGAAGCATGCATCCTGGGGCACCTCTGCAGCGCTGCTTGAAACGGCGTCCATTTCGGAATCACTGTTCTGCAAGAGGTCGATCAAGGCAAAAATAATTCGCGACGTCTCCAATCACGGGGATTCCAAGCTCTTGACTCGTATTGAACCCGAGTCGACACTCTGTACGGCGACGACAGCAATGCAGGTGACAAGGCATGACTGAGTGTGTCCGCCTAGCAGACGAAATGTTTGCGAAGCAGCTGAGCCTGACACCACTCTTTTCTGTGGAGAAATGGTCAGCTGTGGCGTGATCTGGAGGTGACCGCGAGGTAGCGCCACTGCTGGTGCTCCCAGCTCTAAAAATGGTGTGATTGCCGGCCGTTTTGAATAGTGCTAGATACCAGTGATATAAATCAATAAAAGTAATAGTTATTCATACCTCAGTTGCGTTTTGGGTCTCGAGTCGCTGCTACGGGGTCTATAGCTACTCGCTGATGCAGAAATCTTGGAATGAGTAAATTTGATGCCAGTGCTTCTTTAAGCTTTGCCTTTCAACAAAACAATGCAATAGCGATATTCTGTCCCTAGTGCGTACTTTAACCATTTAGTGCATGCTTTTTATTGTATCATGTTACGTACTAGAGAAGTTTAAACTGTGGATTACTACAATGTAATCAATAAAGTTGAAATCTGCTTGTGTTGGTGAAGCTTTTGCATGTGGCTGCATCCTGTGTAATGGGCAGCATGCTTTTTAAACCACTGTGAAATCTTTTCGAACTTGCTATGCACCCACTACGTGGCCTTTAGGGAATAGTTACAGTTACGTGTGTGCCTCTTGTAGTGGGTGGCCAGCTTTAGACCACGAGGTTATTATGGTAATCATAATAACCTCGTGACAATGTACACTTGTACCACGCATTATTACTGCAATACTTCATGTTGTATTGGGAAGCGTGTGTACAGGATGTGTGTGTTTGTAAAGGATGAAAGTTACTTTTACTGCATTTCCTAGCAGAGAAACTTGTTTTCACTTTTAGATGCGGAGCATCTTATACTCGCGCCTTGTAGTGCGCCGTCCGCACCGCTTCTCAAACATTCGACAGCTGACGCGCGCGCATGCGCCGTCGCGCCGTCGCCCACTCTTCCACCATCTGTGCATCCCTTCCTCCTCTACACACCGCGCGCGCTTCACTCCTCCACCATCTGTGCACCCTTCCTCCTCTACACACCGCGTTCGACATCTACAATTCTCCTGATTCTCCAGTGGACGCGCATGTGGCGTCGCGCTTCGAGAACATTCAACAGCTGACAGTGCATGCGCCGTCGTGCTGTATATATACTCAAGGTCGGCGCTCGCTCGCTCAGTTGCTGCTCGTCGGTTGGTTTGTACGGCGCGTCGACGTCCAAGGTCGCGGTGAAATGAATTCCAACGAATCCACAAACACAATGATCGACGTCCCTTCGACCAGCGCCGCCCTTTCGCATACGTGTGTACGTGTTCACTCATTTAACACCCCCTCCTACAACCACGTTAACCAATTTAGCCATCGACCCAAGTAAGTCGCAATTTAACACCCCATTTCACAACCACGTTAACCAATTTAGCCATCGACCCAAGTAAGTCGCACTTTAACACCCCGTTAACCAATTATATGGTCCGCATCCTCCTCAGTGTTCCCCCGAGGGAAGCTGCGGGCAATTTTTTCGGTGCAAACGCATGTCTGTGTGGTAGAACACCTTCATGCCATGCAAACGGCCCGAGTTCAATCCTCACTAGAACCCGGAATTTTTTTATTATTTATTTTATTTGCATCTCTCTCAGATTTTTTTTTTTGGTCCCACAAAAGATTATTTTTCGCTCACAACCAACGACGTCGACGCTGGAGTTTCTGCGAAATGAGCTCTCTAATGCTGTCGCCTCAAAAAGAAAGCTCATGACAGTGTGCATGAAATCTGTCACTGCTTTTTCTCGGAACAGGCTCATTACTATCACATTATCAACATTTCTTGCAGATAAATCCGGGCGACAATGGCTGGGATGTGTTCAGCCTTTTCTATAGAGTCGATGGACCCATTGGCATGGTGAGACTGCTTCTCCCCAGAAATGCTTTAGTGTGACTTGAAAAAACTATTGAACAAGCTCTCTGTGACACTGCACTGTCTGCTCAGAGGTGGTAAATAAGCAAACAAATATATAAATAAATAAATAGGCTCATTCAAAACAAACATTTCATTTGAAAGTAAAAAGGACTTTATTCACCTTTCCTGCTGATAGAAAGCCACAATAAGTGAAAATATAATAGTACAAGAAAATGGCTACATGAATACAAGAAAGCCTTGCTACAATAAAATCTCACAAAATTGCTTTTCTTATAGTCATTATTTATTCCGAGCACATAATTCCGTAATGACAGATGCTGAAGTTCACAAGAAATTTTAGTTTTTCATTGCACAACTTTATTTGTGCTCAATATAAGGCCCTATTGTACGTTTTAATGTTACCCTACATTAACTTGTATCCTCTTGGGCACAAAATTTAAAATGTGATATGCACCATTTCTCTTTCTTTATTTTACACCCTGTAGTTTTCTGCCAAGAAAATTAAATTGAAATGCATATACATCTCTGCATTTATTGTTTTTTTTTTTTTCGGTCAGGGTGATAGGCATCAACATTGGTGGTTATGTAAATTATGTTAAAGGGACACGAAAGAGGGACAATCACTTGTCTTAGATTGACTGACTGCACTCTGAGAACTCTAATCCCGTACGTTTCACTATCATAAGTTTATTATTAGCGTAGAAAATTAGGGCTGAAGTTTCGTTTTTAAATATCACGCCAAAATCACTGTGCTTGGCGTCGGAAATTTTAAAATGTATTTCTGGTATTTTGGTGGCAACGGCTGAATTAAATTTTCTGAAAATTAAATACTAAGTCTATGGCACCCACAGATGGCAACATACTTCATTTTTATCGATTGGAAGCAGCTACGTAAGACCCCAGTAGACGCCTTCAAAATTTCTTACGTCACGGTATTTAGTGGGGGAATCACAAGGTGGTGTCACCACCCGCATTTTCTTCTCACGCGTTTTCTCGCTTACCAAGTGTTGTGTCGTCGTAACAGTGGCATTTTTGCGATTGTGAAAGTGTACTTTACTAATACGCAAAAAATCTTTTTGCTCTTCAATGTCCCTTCAATGTTGGCTGGTGCACGCAAACCTCGGTATAACGAATCTGGACTCGGAAAAGCGAGTGTGTGCTTTTTAGAGTCTCTTCTTTCGTCTTCTTTCAAGTTTGCGCCAACGATGTTTTACACAGCTATACACCAACTAGCCTGACAGCATACGTTACTGGGATATCACAAAGTTTTGGTTATAACAAAGTAAATGAAAAATAGCTGTAGTGTTAGGAATATATCTTTATAACAAATTATAACGAATTATAACGAATGGGATATAACCTAGTTATTTTAATGTAAGATGAAACTTTGTCAATGAGGTTGGAGTCTAGTGGTGATGCTCATGGCGTGTAATGAAGTTTTCCGCAGGACAATGTCTGGCTAAGCCTTGTGGTGGGTGGGCTTTTGTTCCGTGCAGGTGTTCACACCATACTGCATGTCGTTATATCTGCGGCTCTTCAACCACATGTGGAGGACCAAGCACATGGAGTATGTGGCGACTGCAGCTTGGATGCAACAAACCGTCAACCTGAAGGTCAAGAAGTGCCGGCGCCCTACAGGTGCGTAGGTCTTTAAGTCTTCTCAGGGCACAGTTCTCTGGAGTTTGCTGAGTTTTATGTTGTCGTTTTTGTAAGTCTCCTTGATTCATTGCCTTCTTCTCAAACCATCAAAAGGCAGGGAAGCATCAGCATGGTCATCAGAGGTTGGCAGTTCAGTCTTACATTTAGTCACCGTTTGCTCATGTATGTTCAAATGATTGTGTGAGGTATAAGCAGCTGGACAACACGTTATCTGAATTATATAACAGGACTCTAAATTTTTGTACTAGAGTGCTTCAGCATAATGTTACCATCCCTTTGTTACTGGCTGTAGTAGTACATTTGACATTTAGTGCGCAATCTGATGGCCGATTCTGGTACTAGAACCTGTGCTACCATCTTGTGGGGATCTTGAAGCTTGCGTTATTCTTTATTTATTGAGAGCTCTCAAACTGGTGTAATTTGATCAAATCGCATAGTGTGTTGTTAGTCCACAAAGTACAGTCAAACCCCTTTGTAAGAGACACTGATGTGAGGGAAAATCGGTTGTGAGAGACACTAGTGTGTCTACAATAAATTAGGGGTTGATAAGAGAATGCATATGTAGTACCCTGCTTATTACAGACACCTCATATAACAGACAAGAATTGCTCCCCAGTGCATGTCTCTTATAAAGCCGTTCAACTGTAACTGTGTTTTCGTGTAGGTACTTTTCGATTGAGGATTGCCCATATAACTTGACTTATTTACTTGCATAATAGGTGCACCCTGAGCTTGGCCATGATCAGTAGCTCCGTACCGTGTTTTCACGGTTGCAATTAGATGCCCTCTTACGTTGACTGAAGCGAGCAAAAAGAAGAGAGAAAAAAACGCGTCAGATCAGCAGGCTCGCCGAGTCGGGATGTAGGGCGGTTGTCTGGGTGTCGGAGTAACCTTTGCTCTGGTGCGGGTGTGGCCACGCACGCTCCGCATGGAACATGCAATCACATCCTCGTCAAGTGCACATCAAATTTCCTGTTGGAAGAAATGCGTTATCGTTTTCCTGGTTCGCAAATTTAAAACCTTTTTGGCTTTCTGACACGAGCTTTCACCTTTGCTGCCACCACGGAGACTTGCACAAGCTCGGCAGACTTTTGTCGCTGTTGATTCCCTGGCCGCGAACCTAAACATAGTATCACGTGCGCTGGTCTTGGATCACTGCTTAAGTGCAATCTTTTCAATGCCCAATTTTCATTTGTGCAAATTTCCTGCGACAACATGCTGAACTGTGCTCCGCCGCGGTGGTCTAGTGGCTAAGGCACTCGGCTGCTGACCCGCAGGTCACGGGTTTGTATCCCGGCTGCGGCGGCTGCATTTCCGATGGAGGCGGAAATGTAGGCCCGTGTGCTCAGATTTGGGTGCACATTAAGAACCCCAGGTGGTCGAAACTTCCGGAGCCCTCCACTACGGCGTCTCTCATAATAATATGGTGGTTTTGGGACGTTAAACCCCACATATCAATCAACATGCTGAACCGTAGGCTAGGCCTAATCACATTTGGCATTTATCGGTGGTGGTCGCGGGCGATCAAATTTGCATTTTTCGTACGGAATCAACATAACTCTTTTTGATGGCTCTATCTGAAAGAAAGGAGGCTTGGGCAATGCTTGTAACATTCAAATGGTGGTTCGAAATTTGATTGCAATGTCTTGAGTGTGAAGTGCGAGTTCGTGAAATTGAACGGTTGGTGCCATTCAGCACACAAAATTTCGTTTGTGTCCTGAAACAATCAGGGCGAATTTCCGCGATGGCGCTTTCTATTCGTTCGTTCCCCCCGCGTTCATTTCGTTTTACAGCGTGGGTATTTCGATATGTTAACTTTCGTGAATTTGAAGGCACACTGCATCGCATGCCTCGCTTCTCGGACTCGTGAGACTGCATGCTCAACGTGTGCGCTTGCGTAGCCTGTGAAGAAGGTTGTTTCAGCTTTAGTGCGGATATTCGTGACTTCGGCGATGCATACATTATCAACGGCATATGCTGTAGTTTGAAATAAGGTTTTGGAAATTTCACCCCACGCAATAGGCGCACCCCAAACTTGGAGCCGGATTTTCTGAAAAAAAAAAAAAAAATGTGCCTATTATGCGAGTGAATACGTAATAACCATGTGAAATGTGTTTCCATCTCGGTGCAGAGAGCCAATGCACACTTCACCAGTGCCACATTTTGCTCTCGGAGATGATACACTTCATGCAGCAGGTCCAGTACTACATGGTGTTTGAGGTGAGCACTGTTACATTGCTTGAAAACATGCAAATACATTAGACCAAGTTTTATTTGTTGGGGAAAAGGCACTGCTGGTTTCGACAAGTATAATAGTTACTATGTCCATGACATGGGTGTGCATTTCTACTGGCATTCGTTTCCATATTTGTTTAGGTAGCTTGCGCTGGTATTTATTCCGGTCCTATTTTTTTTTTACCCCTGTCTAGTTTAATGATAGGGTACTACTGCTGTTAGTTTGCCTCATAGAGTAAATAGTAGCGTGGTTGTTTTGACTCCATTCCTGACTCGACCTTTACAATCACCACTTTGCATGGTTCAAGAAGAATAATACTATTTAGTGTGAGAAACCAGTGCGAAACTATTTTATTCAGTCACGAACTTTGTAATGTGCCCTTGTAGAGTGCACGTCAGTGCATTCAATGGAACATATTTTAGGAAGATATTGCATGACGTCTAGTTGGAGCCTGTGTTCCCTTATTTAAACAGTTTTGAAAATTATCGCTTTAATTCAGTCTGAGCTTCTATAACAATCTTACGCTTTCCTTAAAAGTGCTTGTTTCAGCATAAGTCGCCTGAGAACAATAGGAAACCCAACATAATTCTCTTCCACTCTTTGATAATCCTCACATGAAAAGGCACAAGAAAATCAACTTTCCCCAGTCATGTGTTCGCCCCCTCTTATAGACATGCACACACCCCCGAGAAAAGCATTGGTTCCCATCGAATGATGGTATTCACTCAACAAATGCATCCTTGTGTCTGCTTTCACAAATGCAGGTTATAGAGTGCGCATGGGCAGAGCTGGAATCTCGTGTGGAACAGGCACAAGACTTGGACCAAGTCATTCACGCTCACGAGGATTTTTTAGCTGCCCTAATGGCTAGGACCCTACTTGAGCCTGAGTCACGGGTAAGTGCCCCTTCTCTCTTATCCCGCAGTTTTAGCTAAATAATTTAGCTGCAATTATCCGTACTCAACAAAAAACGTGCTGAAGACATGTATGGACAATGCCCGTTAGCATAATGTAAGCTCCACTCATTGAAGGTCTTTATTTTGCAAATTATTTGTGATGTTTAGTTACGGCAGCCATTGCAGCTGGTATGAACACGTAGCTGGTCCTGTTTATTTAAATCTATATTTTTCTTTGTCTAAATATGTGACAATGGCTCAGTGCGTGCAGTGTTCTGCTGCTGAGCATGAGGTCACAGAATCAACTGTAGCTGTAGTCATAGTCTCTAGGCGAAAATTGCAGGACTACTCAGCTGCATTATTTGGCTGAAAAAAAAAACAACAAAAAACAGGAACATTCTAAGTAATTAGGAACCTTCCTTTAGAAGCTTTCACATGATCTCTGTATTGCTTGTCAGATAGATTAACATTTAAAACTGCATGGAAAAAATATTCTAGTTTAATAGAACAACAATTAGTTGGACAATAATGAATTTAGCTAATGAGCTAAATTTTCTAGTTACCTGACAATAATTTTTTCTTCATGGAAACCCAGAGAAAGGCTTGCTGCCTGAACATTGAAGATCTCAGAGTTCCGGCTTGTATAGTTTTGTCCCTTTCTCAGTAATATGTGGACAAGTGGAGGCATAAATTGCCAAATTCAAGTAGTGATAATTCTTGAGTTATTCGTCAAAAAGCAAAACAATTTTGCATAGATATTAAGTACATTGTCGCCTTGAATCCCATGCATTATTGTTGTTCTACACAAAAAGAAAAAAAGTTATTTACTCATAAACTTACATTGTTTTGCCCATTTTGATTGGAGTATGCATCACTTTCTAATGGCTTTACTTGCAATATGTCTTCATAGAAACCTGATTGATATGTGAGCGTTTAATGTCCCAAAACCACCATATGGTTATGAGAGACACCGTAATAGAGAGCTCTGAAAATTTGGACCACCTGGGGTTCTTTAATGTGCTACCCAAATCTGAGCACACATGCCTACAGCATTTTTCGCCTTCACCGAAAATGCAGCCGTTGCAGCCGAGTATAGATCGCGTGATCTGCGGGTCAGCAGTTTAGTACCTTGGCCACTAGACCACATAACGCTTCATTAAGAGGCTCAGCAAATTTCATTTGGTTATGTTGGACAGTTTTGCCACACCTGCCAGCACAACGAATGCTTGTACAGCAAAAACGCTGGTTTTTGCTCACACTGTATTTATCGGTGTGCAATACCGCTTCAGTCAAGGCTAGAATATTTCCTGTTATTTGTAAGTGCAGAACGGAGCTTTCTAATGCAATACAGTTCGCACCAATACGATGAGCGCAGTCAGTGTAGTGCGTCAGCAAACAACCACTAAAATGCAAAATGAGTGCTGTCGGAGTTGGACCGCCACCCTACGCAGAATAGTGGTGCTGCCTTCATTTGATGTAGGACCCAATGGTCATCAACAGGAGCATGAAGGTTGTTAGCTGAGGGCTTAGCAACATGTTCCGACGTGTTGGAAGATTATGAAGAGTGCCTCGTGACTTCTCACATTGCCTCCTGTGACACGTTGCCAGATATAATCACGGATGCCATGAGCACCTGTATCACAAGGCAGTAAAAAGATGTCACAAGAGACAAGCACTCGGGAACCTTATCTTATTTGCTTTAAGGCACTTGCTCAGCAACCTTCTCATGCTCATGTCTTGTCCTGCTGTGATGGCTGGCGTCCGGCGTGTAATCCAGTTTTGCCAGTATATACTTCTCCGGTCGCTGCTCAAGGGGTCTTCTCAAGTGATTCCAACAATGCTCACTAGATGGTGCGCCGCCATCCGAGGCGTTGGTTTTCGATGGCTTATGTGCTCGCCTTCTTGCGACTGTCAGTTTTCGATAGCCTGCGTGCTTACTTTTTCGCGACTGCGTGTACATCAGTGTTCCCAGTATACACTTCTCTGGTCGCCGCTCTAGGCGTCTTTACTGGTGATTCCAAAAATGCTCACTAGATAGCACGCCGCCATTCGCAGCGTCGGTTTTCGATGGCCTGCATGTGCGCCTCCTCACGACTGTCGGTTTTCACTGGCCCAACAGCTGTGCCAAAATCATGAAATTTGCTGAAATTGCACCACACTGCACCAAAATGCCCAACCATCTTCAAAATTTTCTCTGTTGCGCTAATGTCAGCGAGAATGTAGACCACATTGGCCACCTGCACCTTGCATCACCTATCAAACCGATATTGCTGGTCGTATACCCCTAAACCACGTTGTAAGTTATATACTTGTTACGTGAGGACTCCTGCAAGACGGGATCAACCAGATCAAGTATAAGATAAAGAAACAACGCTGCTCGCCCATCGATTTGCTGACCACAGTAGATATTTGTTGGCTGGGCGACGAAACTCCAAGCCAAAAAAAATGCATTGCCGTAGCCATCAACACTTCGGGAGAAATGTGAATTCCTGAATCATCGAATGCGGTTACGGCATGTTAGAGACATATGCGGCATTTTCCGCGCGTGAACAAGTTCGACGTGCTGCTAACGTTATCGTTGCCAGCCACCACGTTGGTTGCCGTAGCAATGACACACTAGTTTTCTGCCTTAAAGTTTTGTCAACCCGGCGATAGGTACCCGGTGCTGGTTAAATGCACTTTGCAAGCGAGCTGAGAAGTTCTGCCCTAAACCTAGCCACACCGTGAGAGGAAAAGAGAAAGAGTGGGGGCAGGTGTAGTGGTTCGAAATTGTTTGGCCTTGTTCTAATGTGCGCAGATCGCTCCCTAAGCTACCTTTGTGGCAGTACACAGGCGTTCCGCGGAAAAGCAATATGATTTGAGATGGGCTTTTAGCGTTAGCCACGAGACACAGCACATTTTGTTCAACTACTCATTTGTGCATGCGCTGCGTAGTTTTAGGTACTAGTATGATCGATGACACCTGAAAAGTTTACTGGCCCCCATTTGGAGCAGCGAATCACATTTCTGCTGTCCTAAGAAAAAAAAAAAAACTTGTGCGCCATTTTTCTTTCTTTTTTTCGCTACCCCTACTCTTAGGTTTAATTTTAAGGTGCCAACTAGGCAGAGCCACATTTGAATTTGCAGAGTCTGTATAAGTATTCGACAGGCGTGGCAAATGCTAATGTGAACTTTATTGTTGGCTCAGTGGGGTAATTTAGAATACTTTTTTTTTATTGAAATAGCAGTGAAATACCCCTCTACACGATTTAGGTGGTTGAACGTTTTGTACATTGCTAAAAAATGTGCAGGGGTGCAACAGCTGTGCCAATCGCGCCAATATGATACATTTATACATTGTTGCGCCGAGCTGTGCCAAAATCATGAAATTTGCTGAAATTGCACCACACTGCACCAAAATGCCTAACCATCTTCAAAATTTTCTCTGTTGCGCTAATGTCAGCGAGAAATGTAGACCACATTGGCCACCTGCACCTTGCATCACCTATCAAACCGATATTGCTGGTCGTATACCCCTAAACCACGTTGTAAGTTATATACTTGTTACGCGAGGACTCCTGCAAGACGGGATCAACCAGATCAAGTATAAGATAAACAACGCCGCTCGCCCATCGATTTGCTGACCACAGCAGATATTTGTTGGCTGGGCGGCGCAACTCCAAGCCAAAAAAAAAATGCATTGCCGTAGCCATCAACACTTCGGGAGAAATGTAAATTTCTGAATCATCGAATGCGATTACGGCATGTTAGAGACGTATGCAACATTTTCCGCGCGTGAACAAGTTCGACGTGCTGCTAACGTTATCGTTGCCAGCCACCACGTTGGTTGCCATAGCAATGACACACTAGTTTTCTGCCTTAAAGTTTTGTCAACCCGGCGATAGGTACCCGGTGCTGGTTAAACGCACTTTGCAAGCGAGCTGAGAAGTTCTGCCCTAAACCTAGCCACACCGTGAGAGGAAAAGAGAAAGAGTGGGGGCAGGTGTAGTGGTTCGAAATTGTTTGGCCTTGTTCTAATGTGCGCAGATCGCTCCCTAAGCTACCTTTGTGGCAGTACACAGGCGTTCCGCAGGAAAGCAATATGATTTGAGATGGGCTTTCAGCGTTAGCCACGAGACACAGCACATTTTGTTCAACTACTCATTTGTGCATGCGCTGCGTAGTTTTAGGTACTAGTATGATCGATGACGCCTGAAAAGTTTACTGGCCCCCATTTGGAGCAGCGAATCACATTTCTGCTGTCCTAATAAAAAAAAAAAAAAACTTGTGCGCCATTTTTCTTTCTTTCTTTTTTTCGCCACCCCTACTCCTACGTTTAATTTTAAGGTGCCAACTAGGCAGAGCCACATTTGAATTTGCAGAGTCTGTATAAGTATTCGACAGGTGTGGCAAATGCTAATGTGAACTTTATTGTTGGCTCAGTGGGGTAATTTAGAATACTTTTTTTTAATTGAAATAGCAGTGAAATACCCCTCTACACGATTTAGGTGGGTTGAACGTTTTGTACATATATTTTTATTCTAAATGTAAGCCTTCTTTTTTATACTGCTCCAAATTCGATCTTTCTTGATAAAAAAAATTTTCCTGCAACTTGCTTCAAATTTGGATTTGAGTGCTCCAAAAGCAACGTTTTGCTGTTCCGAAAATTGCTCCTAATTCTATTTTGGCTGTTGCACCCTTGGATGTGTACCTACAGTTCAGGTGCCTTTTAGATTGAAAAATATAATGAATAATATAGCCATGCAGATCTGGGAATAACCATTGTCACTACAAACACTAAGAACGGTGAGCTTTCTATTGTGCCAAAAAAAAAAAAAAAAACTGGGTTGAGAAACATCGGTTGTCAGTTACTTTGCATAATCTCATCTAGACATTTAACTGTGGCCTGACGAATACCTTCTGAACATGTTTCAATTACCCTACTTTACTTCTGAATAATCACTAGTGCTCACTTGCATTAAGACTGTTGAATGGCATTCATGTCTCGCACGCAATCCAACGAGCTGAGGGCCTTTAACTGCAATGTCGCAGAGTCGCCATCAAAATGCCAGACAATGTACTTGTGATATTTGTATGTCTTGCGATTGCATTGGCAGCCATTGCGAGCATTATGTTCTTCCCATGTCTAGGACATTCTGTCCCAGCTACGTTCCATCTTTGACCAAGTGCTTCGCTTCAAAGAAGTTCAGGGGGAGCTGCTTTTTCAACTGACCAGCGGCAGCAACAGCCTACGGGCACAGGCATCCCTCAGAATGATCTCAGAGTCTTACCAGGTATGCTCGCTATATCCAGCCCCCCGCCCCCCCTTTTTTTTTTTGTCGTTGCATGCACAAATGAATAGATAAATAAATGAATGAAACAAAAAACAGTAGAAAGATTGGAGGCGATTCTGATCTTTCACTTTGGCGTCTAGTTGTGGCACTTGCTCGTTGGCACTTAACGTGTTTTATCTCACTGCCAAAGCAGATCTTGGAGGCCACATAGAATGAAGCGCATGGTTGAGAGCTGCTCTCACCAGCTGCCACAGCGATCCCAACTGCCAACAAAAATACTGTCAGCTTTTTCAATAGAGCTGTGTGAATAGTGAAATTTTGAGTGCAAAGCGAACTCGAATAATAAAGTCTGATTGTAAATCGAATTGAATAATTTTCCAATACTTCAAAGCCAGATTACAGAAAGAAAAAAAGTTGTGGAGAAGCCCTAGCATATAGTTAGGAGATAGGAACATGAAAGCGTTTCTTTAGGCTTGTTTGATGAATGCTGAAACTTGTGGCACACAAAAAAGATGTGGACAGGACAGTATGCAACAAGAGAAAGCGTATTGTGTCAATATTGTCTTTGTGTCATTTTCGTGTGCCACAATTTTCACCCTGTATCAGTTGCAACAAGCCCATTCTTATGTCCTTTAGGTTGATAAAAGACTGGAGGTATGCTGATAAATTCGGTTCCCTAAATGTCCTATAAAGAATGTGGAAATGCAGAGGCCAAGTTGCATTTATTGACATGACTTTGTATAACCAAAGTGTTGTCGACAACACTATCATTTTTTGTGTTAGCCTTATCATTTTTGTGTTTGGCTACAGTACACAGCTGTTGTAGGCAGTCTCAACTAGAGGACTGAACCAGCCTCAGGCAAATTTGAGTAATTTAAGAAAGGCACATTGCTCACTGTGGAGCTTCGCATGTGATTCCTCGATAAGTGACCTTACTTCACTGCTGTTCCCTTACCCTCACCCGTTTCCTCAAAGAGGCATCAAGCCACCACTTATTTTAATTTCTCTCTTCTTTGACTAACTTTAGTGAAATGTACTTATTAAAATTTCATTCATTTGTTGGTAGGGTTGTAGGGCCCACGTGCTATCAAGGACCCACTGTTGTAGCATAGTGGTTGAGGTACAGAGCTGTAAACACACAAGGCTGCCAGTTCAATTTAAGACTACAGTGTCTGAATTTCGATGGTTGTTAAATGCAAATACACTGGCTCATATTTAGACTAATATGCACTGTAAGTACCCCAGGGGGAGACCCCTACAGCATGCCTCAAGGTTATGTCTTCAGTAGACTATCACTAAATGGAACATAATGGGACCGAGAAATTATGTTTAATTTAACAGGAGTTCCATTTACTGAGATGAACATGGGTGCAGCATTCAGGTATATAAGAGGTTACTCCATTTAGGCTTCTATTCTGGTCACGAGATTTCCATTTACCGAGGGTCTATTGTATTGCAGTCTGGCGTGTGAAGCAGCAGAACTTTTCGATATATGACAAATCTGCACAAAACAGCAGTCATTTCTGGTGAAGTCATTTTTTGTTCATATTATGCTAAAAAATTAGTCGTGGTGTCTTTGTGTACAGTGCATTGGTTCGTAATTTGTGTGAACTCTACTCGCCAGTGGAAAGAAGCTTGACAGCTAACTACTTATCACAAATATATTGTGTGACAGTGACTACTTAATCTGGAATTACTCATAGCCATTTTTTTTTAGTGCTGGAAACTCACGAGAATTTCAACTTGCTTTGAGTTGTAACTTACTTCAGTAAGGTAATGTTGGAATGATGCACACTTGAAATAAATCGATATAACTGCCTGGACTTGAGGCTTCATAACTTTTTCATGTATTACAATTAAGCTATATATTCACAATGATCACTTCAGGTTCTTTTGTGTACAAATTTCATACTTTTGGTCAAAAAACTAATATGAACCTCGTTATGTAATAAAGATAGATACACTTTAGAGAAGCAGAGAGTTAAGAAAATTTCATATGATTCTATTGAATTGCTTTTTTTTCTTTGTACAAATGAGATAAATCTCTTGTAAGTCATGTCATAGCTAAATGACACATTCAGAGAGTCAGGTTGATCGATAGAACGTAGCTAATTGCTGGCATATGAAGTATTATCTTCAACTGAGCAGACGGCAAGTCCCATCGCTAGTCAACGAACTGACAGAAGTCGTGGGGGCTTTGCAGCATCTTGTACAGGATTTTCTGCTGAGCCTCTCTCGCCATGATGACACCAATCTTCAAGGGCTGGGACTTCCGACTGGACTTCTCCGAGTTCTACAACAAGCAGAATGCACTGCTGCGAACTTCAATGACGTTCCATAGCCGTCGACGGTACCAAGGGTGGGGGTCCCTTTAATTTTGCTTCATTTTCACGTGCAACTGCAGGGACCTCAAGTGTTACATTAACACACATGTTGTGATGTGTTTGTGAAGAATCACAATATTAACTCTGGAATGGTGGTGGTCTTGTCTAGTTCATACTCAATTGTTCTTGAAGGTTACAGCACGGTCATTAGGTGACAATGACAGCGGCAGACAGACAAGTAGAGTTTGTATTGTCTACTCTAACCATTGTCACTTATTGTTGGCATTGTAACCTTTATGCATAAAGGAATCTTGTCAAGAGTGGTAGATAACAGTTCAGAAATACCAGAAGTAATCAAACGTTACCTGTAGTCTCCCTTGCGCCATCTGGGAAAGAAACCCCATCTTTGAATGCTTCAAATCAACTCGTGAATCAACTGCTTCGTCTGTTGATACTTAGAGCTATATATCCAGTATTTCATTATAATCAATTCTTTATAATGAGATTTAACTGTGCAAGCTGTATTGTTATTTCGATGTTCTGCTTTTCATATGCTGCAGGACTGCTACTACCCAAGTTTAGATGATTCTATGGCTGCTCAGCTGCCGCCCATACTACCGCCATCTGCAAGCGCACAGTGAATGTCATAATTTATATCGATAACGCTTCGAGGTAATGCCTTCCGAAGAGGAGGCATGCGGAACCACACCATACTTTGGCTGGCCTTCGTTCGGAGCCGATGAATCTGTGAGCAACTGATAATTTTATGCTTGGATTGCGCTTTTCATTTATATGTGCAAAATGAATTTCGTGAACATGCGTTATCATGAAAAACGTGGGCTATCAACAGAGTTCTTGTGCTTCCCACGACTCATTGACTGCAACCTTAGCGTAAATGTTTATAATTGTGCAACGATCTTAAATAAAGTATGGCCTTTTGTATTTTACTACTCAGTTATTAGTGCAGAAAAAAAAACAAATGGAAAAATGGTTTGAATAAGCGCTAAGCTGTTTTATTTTTTTTTTTGTTTCTTACCTGTTGTGCTTTAATAGCCGTATTATATTACTACTGGACAATGCAACTGTGTCCAAATTTTTAAGGTATGTTGATACTAGTGCTCTGTCCTGTTTAAAACATACTTTCTTTCAGTTATTTCGTGCCAGCAACTTTGATGCATCATTACTAACTAGCCTCGGTTAATTTCCCAACGGTATTTGTTCGTTAGGCAGGACAGAGTATGGCAATTTGTTTTATAAGTGTGGAAGGCCGACCAGAAGCGGGTTTCAGACACCTTGCAAAGTCACACATTAAAAAAAGGGGGGGAGAGCGTTTCTTAGAATTATTAAGATTACTTCTGCCACGCAACTGTAACAGTCATCTGCCTCACATAATTTCCTTGCGTTATCACGGCAGTCTCCATGCACACTATCAGCATGACATCGCTCTTGGGATGCGGAAGTGACAAAAGCCGGGTTTTCGAGAGAAAAAAAAATGTGGGCAAGCCAGATGACGATTATAGTTATGTGGCAGGAATACTCCCCGAATGCTTTATTCTTTTTTTTTTTCCTGCTGACATAGTTGGAAAGTGCTACCAGTAGTCAAAGTTCCTGTGAACCTGGGAGCCAAATATTAGTGTAGCTGCGTGCTGCAGGGAATTCGCAATTATATGCATAACGAAAATGGCAGAAAAAACCTTTAGCTCTCTCTTCCAAAATGTCATTGTCAAATAACATGGCAAGTGGGCATAAAAGATACCAGCCAGCTTCGCAAACAGCACAGCAAACAATCTGGAAGGCTGTGCACCACTTGTGCGAGTACCACAGATGGAATGCCAACATGTGCCAGCGTCTCACACTGCTGAACTAGTAGTAGCGGCCAATATGACCACAAAAAAAAAAAAAATACCATGAAGTACTCCAGAGGCACCCACCTCACGTCCACTTAAAAGTGTATTAATCTTGATATGGGCGCTTGTCCAGTCGAACCAGGAAAAACCCAGACGATTGCCTATGAAAGGCTTCAAGGCAACGCTGGAGCTTCCGATGCACAGTACGGACTAGGTGACTTTGATCTTCATGACGAGGGTGTAGGCGCGCATAGTCAGACTGAAGGATTGCCTTTAGCGGTCTCGTAATGGCAAAAATTTGATACTTGGGCTGATGCTGGCACATTGGAAGTGCGAGTCTATAAAATTCGGAATTTTGAAGCTTCGGTACAGTTACTAAAGGGGCTGCTGTAAAACATGTCCCAACTTATTCGGTCACCAGTTCATACAAGTGAGAACGAGATGTGTTTTCAGCAGTGCTATGACATCCTTTGGCTCCATAGCAATCTTTTCAGTGCCAGAGAGTGTATTTTTTATTGCACGCACTAGAATGCCATCTTCTGACAGGACACTTGAAACAAGTAAACGATTCGTTTATTTTAAAAAAAATGAAAATTACAATACCATCCGTACGATGACGCAGTAAAGATTAGCATTGGAAGACTGTCTTGCAAGGCCTAAGGTGACTTCTGTGGGCTTTCCCTAAATGAGAGTGTGGGGGGTCAAGTGCGGGAATCACGTGCCCTTCTTTGCCTTGTAATCTTCCCAACCAGCGCTGTATTCCCGGGCACTGGAAAGAGAAAGTTATCTCAGCACTTTGCATAACAGTTCCAGATCAGTCACTTCTATGTGCACTGCTTTTACACATGCTCCATGAACCCTTTTTTTGTGTGTGTTTTAATCATGTTTTACCTTAATGATGCAACTTGAACTTGGATACAAAAATACCAGTTAAGTTTAAAAGCCTGCTGCACTGAGATATTTACCTCAGCTCTACTATATTCATTAATTTATTCAAAAGTACTGCCAATCTACTCAGATTATAGCAGGGGAGGCACACTAAAAAGCTGTTTCGTTATACAAGATTATACATGGTCACCATTATCCATCACTATGGTATTAAAAGAACACTTCATAGGCAACTAATTTAATGCAAACTCAACAAAAATAATAATAAAATACAAAAGCTGTACATCAATAACATGATATAGGCTCGAAAAGTTTAATGATTTTACATTGACATTAGTGATACTTGAGAAGCAAGCAATTAATCTTCAATGACAGTTGTAAATTTGCTTTACGTGTGTTATAAATAGAGGATGTCACTTAACTAAAATAGTTGCCTGTTGAGTTGAGTTGCCTGTTGCAGAATGCCATAAGGGCTGCGAACAATTTCTCATGAAAACTAGGCATCTGGCATTCTTAAAAAAAAAAAAAGTCGCAGCAGGGCCATGACTACAAACACCTCGTCAACTCGAAGTCATAAAACCCAGGGAAAACTTTGAGACAATAAACGGATTTTCGAGATAAGCAGAGTTCCGCTAATTGCCAGGAAAAATGAGCGCTTTTCAGAAAAATCACTACTACTTACTGGCTCTTTAGCGACAGTTTATAATCTTTTTTCTCGTGCAGGTTTAAAAGAGAAATAAAAAAATAACATGCTAGAGACTTTAACCGGCTGGGTTGTGCTGCACTGCCATTTTATTTAGCAGAGAAAAACTGCCTAACGCTCATCTGCTTTGCGGTCGTACTTGGGCCTAAGAAGGCGTCCTCCAGCTCCTTGACACATCGCAGCAGTCTATCTTCCCCGCCGCTGCTCCGTATTTCCAAGCAATCGCAGCAAATTTCTCTCCTCAGAAGATTTCGGCACCTCTCGATGTGGTTTGTCATTGCCATAGTCTCCGCCGTGCCCTACGTTAGATGCCGTTTGTACGAATTTCGGTGTATGTAATTTCTCTGGTCACCGCCACATACTTCTCACACACTGCGTACTACAGGAAAGTCACAGTCATTTTGGGCTGCACCGTTACCTGTAAACTTGATGACCTCTTGACAAAGTTCCTCACAGTCTGTGAAGTCACCTGTCTGCTTCTGGCAAACTTGCGGCACGTGAAAACTCGGCGTGCTCAAAGCAGTTGGCGCTAGCCGCTGTGCGAACTTGCTGCCAAGTGCTGCTGAGAAGGTGTACTGCTCCCAGCAGGTCAATTTCGTAGCCTTTGCCGTTTTCATAAGACAACAAAGTTGTGTAGAAAAGGCACTATCGGTAGGTTTTGCGGGCCACTTCGATGACACTTTGGTCTATCGGCTGCAGCACAGACATCATATTTGCAGGCAAAAACTCTACTCTCACTGCCTCCAAATTCTCTATTTTGCCATGGCCTGGACAGTTGCCGACAACGAACAGGACTTTCCTGTTTCTCTCGGCCATCTTGTTATACATAGCGGGGACGTACTCTTCAAAAAGAGTATCAATTATCGACGCAGCTTATGGTGACCCCACCGCTAACTGCAGCGGACGATCACCGCGGGTTCAGGCTTAGCGAGCCACAGGGCCGCTACTCCGTTTACTCGCGTGTAGCGCACCGCTCCGCGCGCGCTCAGCTAATAAGGCGTTTAGCGCGGCGCGGCAAATAGACAGTGTTCTAATGCAGAAGTACACAACACTTTATTGCCACTGGCGGCACCCCGAACCACAGTACAACGTCCGCTCCCGGGACGCGGGTAGCAAAGGCACCCGCACGCGGACGTTCACAATAAGGGGAAAACTGCGAGCATGTCGCAGCTGGCAATGGCGAGCTTTGATACGCCGGTCGGGAAAAGGTCCCTCGCGGCTATGCTGCGCACTCTCACGATGGCCAATGGACCTGGTCGCGAGTGTTAGGGCAAACCTCGTACGCAAAGGCCTACGGCAAGTGCGGCTCGTTGTGGTACGACCACTTCAAGCACTAGGCACCGCTGTGGGCTTAGCGTACGCTACCGAAGCTAGCACTCAAGTAAACACGCCTACCGAGGTGCCCAAGGCCACCCCAGGCAGGCTACAGTCCGGCGATTCCCAAAGGGGACGCGGACGAAGGAAAACACGTGCTTACCCGGCGCCGACCAATGGAGAAGAGACCGCTCCCTCGGCGCGCGCCGTGCCCGCGCGTGGCGCCATCTATCGCCACGTGGTGTTAACAGAGCAGGAAAGCAAAAGGGTGTGGCCGTGTGGCAGAATGCCCGCGAAATGGTCGCGGGCGCGCCTCAGATCCCCACAAGCTCTGCGTGATAGATAACGCCATTCGGCAGTCGTGCAATACAAAAGCACCTGGGCTTGAGAGCTTTGCCAATTATAAGTAACGGCAGCTTCTCTTCGTCTGTGGCATTTTGCGCTGTAAAGTACAGCAACCATGTCCTTCCGTTGTTTCACTCCCGAGCACGCTTTACCCTTTGGTGTGAAGGTGCATCTCGGCAACATTTTATAAAAAAAGTGCTGTCTCGTCAAGGTTGAAAATGTCGTTGTCAGCATATTCTCCCGCAACTCGGCTAGCTGGCTGCTGTGCCAATTGTCTGCAGTGGCTGCGTCGACAGTGCCACTTTCGCCGTGCACCGAACTTGTACACAACACTGTTCCCTTTTTTGAAGCAGTCAAACCAGCCACTGCTGCAACTGAAGTCCGTGTGCCCCATTGGCAAAGAAAGAGCATCTGCATTCTCCATCATTATTGCTTTGGTGATGGAAGGTTGGCCGCTCTGGCATTTCGCAGCCATACCATCAATGCCGCTTCAATGTCTAGGAATTTCGACCTTCGAACCCGCTTTCGGTAGGCTGGAAAAAGCACCTTCTGCTTGTTTTTCAGCACCATCGAAAGTGTAAACAAAGAGATGCCGAATTCCTGCGCGATGCTCAATTTTGTTCGGTCTCCTTTCTCCACTTCATTAATTAAAGCAACTTTTTTTTTCTGCCATTAGCGACTTGCACTGCTTTGACGCCATGTTTGTCGCACTCATTTTAAGTTGCCGCTCCTCACAGTCGGCGAAAAATCCGCACCGCTCGGTTCGTGCACATGAACGGAAATCACACTTCAGGGAAAATAATGGGTGCTGCACAAATCAAACGAGATGAACTACGCCAAGCGTGCTTCAGGGAAAATAATGGGTGCTGCACAAATCAAACGAGATGAACTACGCCAAGCGTGGGCAGAAGGCCTCCCCGCTCAGCGCATGTGTCACATGACGTGCCACAGGGTTGCTTGACAAAGTTTATATGTTGCTGGGCTGAGACTTCGCGCACTTCACATTTGCGGAAAGCATCGACGTAGTGGCAGGCGTGGCTAAATAAAAAATCTACAGACTTCACGCGTGGCAGCGTTGCACGAATCTTGTGAAATGGTCTGGCAGCGGAATTTCGGTTTCACTCCCAGTCCAGATTTCGAGTTACCCGCAATTTGACCCGAAAATACTTCGAGGTGGAAAGGAAAATATACGTGGTACGTATATGAAATAGCTCGGTGCCGCAGAAAATTTTGACTTAGCTGATTTTTCGAGATATGAGAGTTCGAGTTAACGAGGTGCTACTGTAAACAGCTGGAGATAATAGTAAGCACCCTGCACTATTTCATTTTTCCTGAGAAATGGTCAACTGTTTCTTAGCAGATGATACCTCCTTGTTTATAATGCTTTTAAACAAGATGCAGTTTCAGTGATTTAGACTTGAAGTGATTGACAGTATGTACACCACCCTGAATATAGATTTATGCCACCTTGTAGTAGCCTGCTCAGGAAGGCTGCATAAATATTCCTTGCTACTTCATCGTGACAACATTACACATACTGTGTGTAGCCAGCCTTGTGAGCGAGCTTGAGTGCTGCATGGCTCTTGATGGGGCCAAGGCCGTAGAACACAATGTTGTGGTCATAACTTTGGGGCTTCTGCGCATGGTAGGCTTTCTGGAAGGCCTCTTCGGACATCAGCAGGGCATCTTTCACTTGTCCCACTGAAAGAGTGACAGCATTCAATTAAGGACTTGGACGCCTTGATGGCTAACTACAGTTACAGTCGGAACGCTCCCGCCACCTTCTGCAAGTCGGCCTTCGCTACAGCAACACGACCAGTTACAACTGCTGGATACATGAAAACACATTCCACAAGACACTACTTCATTTTGTACACAATGCCGGCCGACCAGCGCACGTTTATGCACATATACGCACAGAATATGCGTTTAGAGCAAGTCTATGTTGCAATTAAAAAAAAAATTTGTTCAAAAGCCTTCGATAACCTCATCAAATGTGAAAATTGACTGTCGGCGCCGTGAACATGACTGAGTAAAGTTCACCACATAATGAAGTCTTTGCATGATGTCACAGATCGCCAAAATTTGTGAGGTGACGGCATCATCACATGACGTTGTTGCTATGTCAAAGGTGCCTGCTTTTATCACGGAGGAAGTGCGGAACCGTGTTGGGTGCGACGTTGTTGCTATGTCAAATGTCCCTGCTTTTATCACGGAGGAAGTGCGGAACCGTGTTGGGTGCAGAAATATTTTGACGAGGAAGCACCAATACATTCACGGAGTATAAAAAAAAGGAACGTGGTTTTTGCCTTCAAGTCATGGTCACCGTAGACCAGCGCATAATTCCAATGGCACAGAAGTAAAAAGCTACCATGCTGGCTACTGCCACGCTTATATCGTACACAACTTTATTAGGCATCTTTACCTACACCTAGTGGCGGCTAGTTCTCCAATGCAAACACTCTTCTGTGGGGTTGTTTCTTTGTGTCATTGACTCGAGAAATTACTCAAAATTACTACACTTGGCTGTAACCGGTGCCTATCTGTGGCTGTTTTGGCTAACAATACATTCCATGGAACAGTAGATCAGGCTTTGTATAAGGGTTATCAAAATGAAATCAACACACTGTGCACTTCTTGCTTTCCTCTGTGCAGGACAACGCTACGTTGTGAGTTAGCATGCGCATGTTCACCTCGTCTCATCTAACCCCACTTGACTACTGTCAGTCTGACTACAGTGAGAAGTATTGATTCTCCTCTTGTTAAAGGAGCCATGACATTATTACCCAAAGATTTGTTTCCAGCAAAAGATAGAAGTAGAAGGTCTATAATGGGTATAAAGATGTGAAAAGTAGGCTGCAATAAAGCATCGTCATCATCAGCCTGACTGCGCCCACATGTAGGGCAAGGGCTTCTCCCACTTTCTGCCAACCAACCCAGACCTGTGCTTGCTGCTGCTGCTGCATTGTACCAACAAACTTCTTAATCTCATCTGCCCAGCCTAATATTCTGTCTACATCTCGCACGTTTGCCTTCTCTTGGAATCCGCACTAGTTACTCTTAATGGCGTTATCCTGCCTACGCGCTAGTGCACAGCCCATGACACATTCTTCTTGTTGATTTAAACAATGATATTCTTACATCCATTTGTTCCCTGACCTACTCTGCTTTCTTCAGGTCCTAAGGTTACACGTCATTTTCCTCTCCATTGCTCGCTGCATCGTCCTCGATTTATGTTGAACCTTCTTTGTAAGTACCCAAGGTGTCCTGCTCTAGAAGGTAAGTGCCAGTAAGATCCAGCAAAAAAAAAAAAAATTCAAAACAAGCTCTAGAAGTCACCCGCTGTGAACCTCACCCGCTGATAGCGACCACTATCCTACCACGGGGTGTGTGATGTCATGTGCAGTCGCTGGAAGAAGCGACTCCAGCCATTCACCCTCTGCTGAAGTTTCAGCTACAGGAAATAGTTCAATTTCAGTGCTACGCTGAAGAAAGCTCATTCATCTAGCTTTCACATGTAGCTGAGCACGGAACAATATTGTTCGCTGGAATGCAGATGCTCGCACAGCAAGCTGCTTGTTACGTCATTGCTCACGAGTGCACCAGTGTAGCTCCGACTCACAGGTCCACTCACTTGTTTATAAAAATATTCAATTATAAATTACGTGGCTCGACCGAAGTGCGCTAAAATTTCACTACCCTGTGATTGCACAAGGGTTAACGATTGAAGTATGGGTGTTACGGCCTGTTCTGAAGCTGAACCTATACAGTTAATTGTCACAAGAACACTGCAAGTGCTGTTACACTGACTGAAACATTTAAGCTCTGCTACACTGATGTGATTTTGCTAAAAGGTAAGTCACACAGAGATGAAACACTAGTTCAGGGATTGCTATTTGTGAACTGCTAAAACTGCATTCTTTCTCCCTAACTAAGTTACTGCTCTCTCGTGTGAATTATTTCAATGCCTATTATATTATCTATTTTTATTTATACAAGTGCCTGTAGTGCTACAAACGTGTTATTGCAGGAGGACAATTTAGGAAAAACTAGTTATATAACAAATTTTATAACAATTCGCATACAAAGATAAAAATATGAGCTCATTACAATGTGATGGTTACAGCACTTGAAAAGTGGCAACACATACAAACAAAGGAATCATCTTGAGTGTACGCACAATTTCATCAAGAAAAACAGACACGAAAGTCCAGAGTTTCTTGAGTGCTCACACAGAACAGTTCTATTATCACAAAGGATATAGCCATCGTATGAGGTACAATGTCTCCTAATACCACTAGATTAATCCAATATATATGCACTGTCCAGACTTCATTTCATATTCTAATGGTTAGGCATACTGATAAGCTTGTTCTGCATGTGGGTTTGCACCATGCTGGCTAGTACACTAGTGACAGAGGAGGGTTACTTGCATGGAATGTTGATGGCATTGCCGATTTTGCCGGAGGCAGCTACCTCAGCAGGCTCGCGCACGTCGATCAGTTGAATGTCGCCACCTTGCATCAGAGCCTTAAGGTCTTCATAGCTCAGATCCTGGAAGTTGACACCTGACGTTGACACAGAGCGAGCACTCATAATACCTGCAGAAACCAACGTTGGGATAGAAAACAAATGTATAGAATTGTTTTCAGAAAAATTGTTGCAAGGAATGGTAACAAGACAAGAGCATACAAAAAGACTGAGGTGGAGCCAGTGACTGCAGCCGAATGAGAAAAGCTTTTGCCTGAAGCCAAGATTTCGATTTGAAGACTTGACGGAACAATTCCACCAGCTGAGGCTTTCCTTGTATACCCTACTTTGGTTGGTTCAAAAAAAAATGGTGTAACAAAAAAAGGATTCACTAGAAAGTGAAGAAAGTGACAACTGCATAGTCACATGGGTGAATTGAAATGAAGTTGCAAATGTCGTTTGTGAATGTAAAGCTTTGGAGATTATGCTACCTTCGTTACGTGTGCTAAATTTTATAGTACGTAAAGTTGAAGGCCTACCGACGCAAAAAATTTTAAATCCTTGTTTTTCGGTACCAACAAGTAGCTAACGATACATTTTCCTTAGCTGGAAACCTAGTTTGCTTGAATGTGCATCTGTTAATTATTTGGAGATGTTTTTATTGTGACCAATCGCAGTTTAGGCATTAGAAAGTCCCAAGAGAAATTGGACCTAGTGGTGTTTTTTCGTAAACACATCAGACAATGTTGGCACACATAACAGACGCACCCACCATGTTTGCAGCATCAGAAGTTAGCACAAACTCGCGATACAGGTGGTGGTTGGTTGTTTAAAGCAAGTTGATGACCATGCTGATGTGCTTTGTTTTAGGTGCAGTTGCATGACAAACACTTGAAATATTTGTTTTCAATATGTTCTAGGCAAGGTTACTGTTAACATTTGGTTGGTGATGTGTGCGTGTCCACACCAACCTAACTCGCAAGTTATCTCACCTTCAAAATTTTGTGTCAGCATTACATTAACGTACTACAATCGCAACTGAAATACCTGGTAGTATATGGCTTAGTGAATGCATCACTATGCTTCACAAACATTTCCAAGCTCTCTCAGTGTGCCCATAGTTCAATTCAAAGCACATTCCCATTTATATAGACACTACGACACTGAAGATTACGTCAAGAGCATACCTGAAATCTTAATTTGTCAAACCTGTTTTAGAGATCATGTTTGTACTTGACAACAAAGCATTGCCCCCTTGTGTGGCAACAATTCTAAAACATTTCGTTGAAGCAAACACCTTTGCGACCCAAACACAATGACTATTGTTTGACGTATGAAATAAATTTCGTCTATGTGTTTAAGAAAAAAGTTCTGTGCCCAATAAAAACTATTTCATAACTTTTTCAAGCAGGAGCTACGGTACATTAAACTGTTCAGAATAAATTGTTTTCATGGATATTTATTTTTGCTGAAACAAGAATGAAATTGCAGCTGACACACAGTTTGTAAGAGATATTATGAAAAATGGTGAGGCACTCGCAATGTTTTTGTTTGTTTGAAGACAATTTTATCACACTTTATCCAGCGATAGATGAAAAACAATTGCCTGCAGGTAAACATTACTTTTCTCAGGCCCCGTGCTTTTTTTTTTTTTGTAACCAGTTTGATATAGAATTAATACCTGTTGACTGTCACATTTTTTATATTTTTCTCACAAAAGCTTTACTACAACAAACCTAATTAGTACCCTTCTTCACACTGATCATATTAGAAAACCGCATATGTTCCTAGGATAAGAACTTGAAAATACAAAAAATGCAGTGGTTCTACTAATAAGCAATTTTTATTCAAATCGCGGCGTTTTGCAACAGAACATGATAGAACAAACGTGGCATTTTTGTTTCGACTCCTCTTTCAAGGACAGCACAGAAAATCAAGGGCAGGGAACTTTATTTATTGCTTTCATACTCTGAAGCAATCGGCACGTGTTTTATTATTTTAGCTGCACAGTCTGCCAACAGGAGGAACTAGCAGCCACAGTTCCATTTCCGCGGCATGAGTGTAGGAATGTCCGAGAGCACTTCGTGCAGCCCAGCATAGAGACGGCAGCGCAAACTATGCTATCTACGAAGTCGCTCGCCCGGTCACAGTGACATCACGAGGGCTTACAGTAAAGCTTTTCACGCAGCGACTTGTTTCTCGCTGCAATCGAGAAATGTGTGCGAAATTACGTAGCCTTAAGTTATCGTCGAAATATGGTGTGCTGAACCTGAAAGTAGACAAGGCGCGCCCTGCTTGGAAAGAAAAAAAGAAGGCAAATTGTTTTGCCGATTCTCCGGTAATGCGCAGTCAATTGAAACGAATTGACCTAGCAGGCGACAGATGGTTATCATCAAGTGGAATCATTCACGAAGAAATCGTGTCACGACAATCGACGCAAGCTCACGATGTTTTCAAACCAAATGAAAACTTACAAGGACCGAGTTGCGAGGAGCGGCATGCCGTCGTAGCACACGCATCGAGCACGACGACCTGTTTCGTATGAAATCCTGTCACGGGCGCAGCAGCAAGACGCCGTCCCAGCAGCCATGGGACTCTGTTGGAACGAGCCACTGATATAACAGGCTTGAATAACATGACTGCCCTTGCTGCGCACCGTGTAGCCTGTTTTGCCGGCCTTCGTCAGCTTCTCCTACGCGCACGCGGTGAACAGAGGAGGACGCTTCGCTGATTCGTTTTTCGCTCACGATGAGCGCTGTTGCAGTAGCTGCTGCGACCACATGCGATGCGACCTCCGTGGATGCAACGCGTTGCTTGCGTGCCGCGCGGCCATATCTTATCAGCTTGGGAATCGTGCAGCCGGTACATCGACCTTGCGAGGTCGCGCTTGAAGATTCCCGCGTGGCGTGAATTTCGTGCGGTCCCAAACCAGAGATCACCTACCACTGTCCAAACAATGCGCTGCGTACAAATGAACACTGTCAACACTGCTGACGAGGTTATCCGGCAGTGTGCAACCGTTGGCGGTTCGTTTAAAATTGCCCTCAGCCGTGTGTCTTGAATAGTTCTCGTACTCGCGCCAGTCACAGCCTTCACCTATGGCTTCACAGCCTTCCATCTTTATATTGACCGGTCATGAATCGTATGACTATGACCAGCTCTGAAAGCATTTGATCAGTCCGCTCAGGGTGTGGACAACACGTTGTCGTCTGCTACGGCGGCCGCCATTGCCGCTGTCGGTGGGGGGGGGGGGGGGGGGGGGGGCTGACGCGTGCCGAATATGTTGGTTGCGATACTTTATTGTGGTCCTGCAAAGGGACTCCCACGTAGGGACCGTTAGGCCAAGTCTATTGGCCGCTCCGTGGGCCTGCTGGACGGCCTAAAGTTGGTCGGCCAGGAGGGAGCTGCCGAACCTGTTGCTTGTATTAAATGCGATGTTTCCTCCGACGTTAACCGTCTGTCTGTCTGTCTGTCTGTCTGTCTGTCTGTCTGTCTGTCTGTCTGTCTGTCTGTCTGTCTGTCTGTCTGTCTGTCTGTCTGTCTATCTATCTATCTATCTATCTATCTATCTATCTATCTATCTATCTATATCTATCTATCTATCTGTATGCCTGTCTGTCTGTCTCTATCTATCTATCTACTTTATGCTCTCCAAACCGTATCATTAATATGATTTACTACGGCGTATCATGACTGTATGCTGAACATCAATGACTGGTCATACTATGAAAATCGTGGCTATTTTGTCAAGAACGAGAGGGTTTGCACTCCACGGCCGAGGCGCTGCTGTGGCCGTTTTACCATGTTCTGTGGTTTTACTTGATATGTAACGGCGAGAGACGTGAGACGACGTCGTGAAGGTGGCCGGCTGGACCGTAGCAGTTTCGCCACTATATTCCTTTCTCAGCGGCGACGGCTGCCTGCTGCTGCTGCTGATGATGATGATACTTGACACTCTGGCGCATACCCACAAAGGGGGATCGGCCAAGAACCGGGCGGCAGGATCTTAACTAAAAGGCTAATGGTTTTTCAAACAAAAACCTGCGTCCGACGCACCGGGGCGTGTGAACCCGTCCTCTTCTCGCGCAGCTCGAGTATAGTACACTGTGGCTCGAGATAGGCATCAGCTTCGCGAGAGGCGCGGTGCGGTGGTCAAGAGAGTGATGATGATACACTACAGGGATATCCCAAAACTGGTGTGTGATGAAACATTTCTGCACGAGCATTGGCCAACATAAATCACTCGTGGTAATGCGAAAATCAGGACGCCCATGTCACGTACGGCATGATTTGCTTGCCACGCTCGTGGTTCGATGACGGTCGTTTCGCTAGCTTGATATACACCAAATAGGGTATTGCATGTAGTGACTGTATGACGAACATAAGCGAGAAGTGGTAATAGGGAAATTATAAAATGTCATGCGCGACATGACTTGCCGCGCTCGCGGCCAGTTAGCTAGCTTTATATACACCGAAATCGATATTGCGTATGACTGTATGACGAACAGATATATGACAGCTCCTAACATGTCAATCAAGACACACATGTTACGATTGTTTTTCTCCGCATGTTTTGCTCCTCGCCGGTTGCTTCGCATTACATTCGATTCCCACAATGCGTGGCATCTGCCGATTTCTTTTTTTTTTCTTGACAAATGTACGTGCAAAAGAACTGCCTCTCGTTTTACGAGGCACAAAAAGATAAGCTACGTGACACTCGCTGTGCGAACTGCGAAGCACAAAGACGATTCTGGTAAACCGCTCTAGTTCGCCTCCAAGGATGAAGTAGACGCGACGGAAGCTTGGACTTTTGTGTTTCATCCGTATACTGTTCAATGTGCGAACTAGCATTCTCTTTTTCTAATAACTGTAGTGTACGCATTCTCTTTCTAATAACTGTAGTGTACGCATTACAGGAAAATGGAGACAGCGTAGTTTATGTCAGCATCAGAGGCAAGATGAAGGGATACCACCGTTGTACAGTATACAGCGCGCTCCTCCTCTCCACTCACTCTCCGATACTCCGCCCGCAATGTACTTCAATGTATTTCTGTATTATCCATGTATTTCTGCATTATCATATTACAGTAACAGTAACCTCTCTGTTGTACTCTTTATTGCGATAAAACCTTGCCCTCATAACATGTTTCTTTATTTCTACATATGGATGCGCGAAATTTGAAACGTCTATTGCAAGTACACAGTGAACGCAATTTGAAAGAAATGAACAACAGCGGTAATGATCGCCATAAAAATTAATGTTTTGTGAATTAGAAATATATATACAATGGTTGATGCAGACGTATACATGTGAGATTTTATTGCAATGACTGATGGCCTATATATCATGCTAAATAAATACCAAATTCAAATTATATGCATTGCTGAATATATATATATATATATATACATATATATATATATATATATATATATATATATATATATATATATATATATATATATATATATATATATATATATATATATATATATATATATATATATATATATATATATATATATATATATATATATATATATATATATATATATATATATATCCGAGGAAGTTTGAATGCCCATTTGTGCGTTATATGTGTGTTAAGGCCTGTGCAGTGTATGAAGTGAAGCGGCGTTTTGTCGAATCTGCTGTGTATTCGGTGTGTAATGCTCGAAGAAACGTAGTCGTCCCAATTCTCACTTTTTATTTTGTCACTTACGTTCTCTATTTCCACCTCACATTCGAACGTGTGTATGGAAACTGTGCGCATTCGATGATTAGACGTCGTGCCAACTAGCCTCAGCTGCAGCTTTACGGGACATGTCCATACATGTCCATACATGCCCTTTATATACCCAGTATTCTTAGCTCTCTGTATATATATATATTTTTTTTTCCTTTGCATTTCTCGTCGTTGTCATCCATATTTAACGAAGTTAAGGTGTTATGTACAGTGACCAGCAGACAAATCAGTAAAATAAGGCTTCCGGCTGAGTGCACTCAACCCCCCCTCCCTCATTTTTTTTTTCTTTCGTCCAAGGGACACAGCTTCGTTGCTCTGTCGTAAAAAAGAAAACCAGTTTGGTTCTCGTTCGAAGACTCTGTAGCTTCAGCCTTCACCGGACGGCCACAACGGGAAGATTTTTTTTTTTTTTTTAACGAGCGCTTGTAGAATCCAGTTTTAGATGAAGATGTACGCTTTCGGTATGTGACGCCACTTCTGAATCGACTTGAGAAGTTAGCGGTCCACGCCCAAGGCCACCTGTAGAAGTTACACGTCCAGCAATATCCGCGAAGAGCTGTAAATAATTCATTAAGTGGTTTCTTTTTTTTTTATGAATCGAGCTAGAAATTTGCAGCGTAGAACTCGATGCTGCAGAAACTCTCTGAATTAAAAGGGTCGATCGTTGGTTTGAAGGATCGGTGGTCTAGAACTTGGGGGGCACATTTGCGAGAAAGAAATAGTAGCGTGCAAAAAGACGATGGACATGGCAAGTGTTCATCCATAGAAACCAAGGAACCTTATTTTATTAAAGTTGTATGTACCTCTCTCTCTCTGATAAAGCTTGTCACGTCATTTGTATGCCGGCCAATTAAGGCAAACCACGGTCGCACAGGGCAAGCGAGTTGAGGCTCAAGGCAGTTTCCGAGCATCAGTGCCATTTTGCCATCATGGGCTTCCTGTCGGGTTGAAAGGGTGAGGGGTAAGTGGGGGGGGGGGGGTGTATTTTTGAAAGTAGAAAAGCAAGAGAAAGGTACCGTCCGTGAGTTTCCTTTTCGTCGGTGTATACGTGTAGTCGCGGCCAACGGTTAGAGGGCCCGCCTTGCTGAGGTAAGTGATGGTTTCGATTCCCAGTACCGTCGGGATCGCATCCGTTTATTACCTCGGCCGGGCGCCCGGTGTTGTAGGTATACTCTTGACGTTCCCGCTGCCTCCTTTCACTTTCTTTCGGCCTCTCCCGAACAGAGACAGCCGCGCTCTCTTTTGCAGCAGGAAGCGTCTTCAAGCGACCAACTTCTACGTCTCGTAAATTTCCACGGGTGCACCGAACATTCATGTAGTTGACCAAAGGCATCTGCCGCGTCGGCAAATGCTTCATGGACAAGTTGATCATCAAAAAAAAAAAAAAACTAGGGTGAGGCGGGGGGGGGGGGGGTGAGCTCGAAAGGATTAGCTTCATAACTGCGCATCTTCTTTGTCACCAAAGAAGAGCGAGAGAAAAAAAAGGGGAGGCAAGTAGGGGAGGGGGGTTGACGTGCAGGTAGTAAAATCTTGAATACGATTCGAATTGCCCCTACTCTTCCATTCATATTGGTTTCGAGTATTCATTATTTCATGTAGGGGTGGGCGAATATTCAAAAGTTTCGAATAAGAAATTGAATAGCATTCCATTCGATTCGGTACTCGAATCTAATAGTACATATTCGTAATGCCGATTATTTTTCGAATGATAAGTCGCGACGGGATAACCTCAAAACAAAGAAAACCGTGGATCAGCTAACTGCGATTTTTCTTTTTTAAATCCCTGTATTAATTCTGCATGCAGCCCGGGCTTTCACGAGACTACCGACGCTATATTGATTACCGGGATGAAGGCGTTTATTCTGAGAGCTCTACTCTTGCTCACTTATTGTTATGCCGGAGCTGTATCGCATTAATCAGTTCTTGTCTTTGCGTCGTGATAACTGAAGGGGGGACTCCGACTGCATTCAGCTTCGTGACTAACAACGTACGCAGGTATTGTGTTCGCGCAAATAGTACTTGCAGATGTATTCCTACATCCACATGCTTTCGGTGCCGCGGCTCATGTTGTCATAACAGGTTGGTCTGTTTCATTACTTATTTAGCTGTGCCCGTGGTGCTTGGTTCAAAATTGTTTAGTTTTTGTTAAAAAATGTAAGTTGAAATCAGGTGGCTAAGTCTCACATTGATTATTATAGTGACTGCTGTATATTTTAACTT